TTTCTTTGCAGGTCGTGCCTACGCCAGGGGGTGGTTGTTGGGCTTTTTTCTGGTGGAGTGGGTGGTGTGTGGGGGGGGGGGGGGGGGGGGGGGGAGGGGGGGGGTTTGGCTTTTTTTTTGGCTCTATATAAAAAAGTAAACACACTGACACAACTGAACATGAAAGTCCAAACATCTGGGCAGCGGGTTTGATCTGTTATGTGGAACACAGAGCAATTTGAGAATACTGACCTTGCTCCAGACCAAAAGCACTAGACTTGGATCCAGCTGGACAGCTATAAGATATCTACAAAGGTCCTCACAATGGACGCATCGCTTCTCGAAAACTGATGTCATCCCTTTGAGGCCAGACCGAGAGGTGACTCGGGGGCTTCCCCATCATGCAAATATTGCGCTGTGCTTTTGCCTTGCTTCAATCGACTGCACAGGCTATGCACTTCGTTCGACCCCACAGTACGTCATTTGATGTAACATCGTGGGGAGAACGGTGGAAACGGTGAACGGAGCCTCCGGGGGTTCAAAATTGGGAGGAGGTGCTGTCGATCCTTTTCCCCTCTTGAGAGGTATAACTCCCGCCGTTCCTCGAGATCTTGCAATTAAACTGGTCGCGTGCTTCCATTTTCAACATGGCCTCAATTCTCACCGTCGCTCTGTTTGCCCTTGGCGCCGCTGCGTTGCCCAGCGCTGCTTCACCTGAGCCAACTGGACTTTCTTACCCATCGGGGTTTGATATGAAAACAAGCTGGGCGCATCTGAGCCCGTATGTCGATGCCCCCGGGTTCAATGTCTCCAAGGGCTATCCTGCGGAATGTGAGCTATCTCAAGTCCATGTGTTACACCGCCATGCCCAGCGGTATCCGACATATTACCCCTTGGATGGAGAAGGCATGGAACGGTTTGCTCAAAAGTTAGCGAACTATTCCAAGAAACACCCCCAAAAACAAGTGGGCTCTGGCCCGTTGTCATTTTTGAATGATTGGGAATATGTTCTGGGCTTGAACACCCTTCTTCCTACCGGCGCTGCCACCGAAGCCACTGCAGGCGCGCTGTTCTGGAGCCAGTACGGGCGACTGCTCTATCGTGCCAATGCTAGCCAAGCTAATTGGGATCCCTCGTTGAATGTGTTCCCGAATGGCACAACCCGACCGAAGCCAACGTTCCGTACAACTTCATACCCCCGTATCTTGGAGAGCGCTCGGTGGTGGCTCGGTGGTTTCTTCGGGAACACCGGAGCCAACAGCTCGTATGCCGAATATGACTTGACCATCATCCCTGAAGTGGACGACTTCAATAACACGTTGTCATCAACCAGTTCCTGCACCGAGGGCTTGGAGCCGGGCGATACATCTGGTGAAGCATTTGCCTCATCCTCTTTAGTGAAAAATGCGGCTAAGCGCTTCGCTGCGCACTTGCCTGAAGATTTGAACCTGGATACAATTGATATCGTCGCAATGTTCAACATGTGCCCTTATGAATATGCTACCCTTGGCAGCTCGTCCTTCTGTGCGCTTTTCACCGAACAGGAGTGGCGCGACTTTGAATACTTTATCGATCTACAGTTCTACGGCAGATATGGCTTCGGCTCTCCTAGCGGACGTGCTCAAGGCATTGGTTACGTCCAAGAGCTAGCTGCACGCTTGCAGTCCAAGCTTATCATGAGCAGCCAGAGCAGCATTAACTACACATTCGACAACAACACCAAGAGTTTCCCCTTGAACCAGCCACTGTATATGGACATGTCTCATGACGATATCATTGTTTCTACCTTGACGGCTCTAGGCTTGGACTACTTCAAGTACAGCCCTCGTGGCCTTCCCGACTCAGTTACGCATGCTCCACGCCGCAACTTTGATCTCAACCACATGACACCCTTTGGAGCTCGCCTTTTCTCTGAAATCTGGACATGTCCCCAGGGGGCCTCGCTTAAGCACCTCCGGCCACAGAAGTACAGCAATCCGGACCTCTCCTCCGAGTCCAATACGACCGATTACATCCGTTTTGTCCTGAACAATGCTCCCTTGCCACTTGATGGTTTGAGCGCATGTGATGGATCGGTGAATGGATTCTGCAAAGTCAGCAAGTTCCTCAGTGATATTCCGAAGTTGAATGAGGAGGCAATGTACCAGAAGGCATGCTTCGGCGATTACAACATCACTACCCAAGTTGGGAACGGGCAACCCATCAAGCCTTGATTGGTATGCCAGTATCGCATCCTGTGTTCATGCTATGCTCCCTCTGATGCCAAGGCATTTCCAAGTGTCAGCTTTATATAGTTTCTAAAGCATAGTAACCACTTTTCCATCCATGGATGAGAATCTTACTTTTAAATCTTACGATGAGCTGAAGTATAGGCCTGGTCGAAGCTTAAGCACGTTGTATAGAGCGTAAGTTTGGTTGAAGCACTGCTCATGACTATTGAAAACACTAACCAACCGTGGAAGGTGAGAAAGGCAGAAACTCGCATATAGAGAAGGATCTGTACATGCATTTGTCAATGGTTAATTGATTCATGATATCTGGAATGTGGATTCTGAAAATCCACGAGATCGAAAATTGCCTATGATGCTCGCGGACGCTGCATATAGCGTCGCCACTAGTCTTGTGTGAGCCAACATGTTCCTCCGTTTTCAAGAATAGAATACTCACGGCCGGGTTCAAGAAGTAAACCGGAATACCGAGAAGAAAGACAGCCCCAGTTACTCCCGCCAAAATTCCCATTGCAGTGGGATAGTTGAACCGGCCCAGCATGGGATTAAGCCCATAGCTTATGCCAAAGGCTAATATATTTTTGGTTCCAACGACAGCCACCAAAGCAGGCCCAGGATTCTTCTCCCAAGCCTCCGCTGCGAAAGATGTCGACAGAATCAACACTGAGACGAACGCAATCTGAAGAAGAGTCCATCCCATGTAAGGCCCACCCCAACTTGTGTTAGTGTCAGCCGTAAATCCATAGAGTAACAAAGAGACAACAGCAAGTATTCCCGGAAATATCAATAAAATCAGACGATGCTCAGGGATATGCAAACCACCGGAACGCTTTGCCATTCGCAGAATTAACCAGTCCCCAAAAACCCCAGCATATAGCATGCCCCCAAATCCTCCGAAAACACCACCAAGGTTGATCAGACCGATATTCTTCGCTGGCCAGCCATAGCTTTGAAGCACCGCATCATAAGTCAATGACATTCCGACTGAGGATCCCAGAACGACCGATGATAGAAGGGTTGCATAAAGAATTCCGGGCGACGAGAATGCCTCGAACATGTGGAACCAGGCCATAAGCACTGTCCGTGCCGGGTGTTTCACGGATTGCCCAAATGGCTTTAGCATCTGTATGTAAGTCTTCTTCGGTATTGCTGCCTCCGAAACATTGAAGTCATCTGCTGACCATTGATTCTGGAAGTGAGCCTGAGCCTCTGCTCCAGTGAGAACACGAGTAACTCCAAAATCATCTGTGACTATCACTTGATCATTGAGGTATTGCGCGCGCCGCTGATACCTGGTCTCAAAGCATCCGAAGACAACGATAACCAACCCTGCTCCGATTGCAATGACATAAACCCAGTAAAACCAGCGCCAGCCTAGTGCAGCAGCCTCATAAGAGCTAGCCAGGTTCAAGCAACTGGTGACGACGTTTTGTGTGGCCCAATATACGCCAAATACCAGGCCGCGTTGATGTACGAATGTGACCTCAGATAACATCAGAGGAAGCAACTAATGTGATGTAGTACCAGTCAGCACAGAACAACCGGATTGGAGATTGAAGTATGGCCCAACAGACCGATTCGGTGGCACCAGTGGCCAAGCCTTGCAAGATCCTTAAACCGAGATGCTGTTCAAATGTCTGCGATAACGCGCAACCAATCGTGGAGCCGAGCAAGACAACAATGGATATGATTGTTGCTGTTCGGCGGCCATAAACTAAGCCCAATGGAAGGAGAAGGTAGTTTCCTTTTGAATATCAATGAGACTGATCAACATAATCTCTATGTATGATTGGAGTATTCGAAAGTAACTTACCAACTCCAACAAATAGTGAAGGGAATGTTCCAAGCCAAACCACTTGTGTTGAAGTGACACCTTGGCGGCCATACAACTCGAAAAAGATGCCGAGAATTGCTCCCAGCCCTCCAACCACCGAAAGGGACATTATGGCTTTACAGAGTTAGCTCTGAATGAGAGAGTAAAATGATGATTAACTCACAGAACCAGCAACAGCTGAGTATGATCCCAAACTTCTCCCATGTTGTGAAATTCAGAGGATCGTTAGGATCATTACTGGGCACAGGTAGACGCTGCACCTCTCCAGTCTCGTCGACCAGCACATCAAGTTTGACGCCGCCAGTGCTCACTTCCTCCAGATATTCAACTTGGGCTTTTGGGTCATTGCTCGACATGGTATAGTAAGTAGGGAAATATCCCCGGAAGTGAGAATGAAAGTGAATCGCCTGCGAGAGGGAGGCAGACTCACTGCTATCTTTAAGCCCCCTTGACAGCCCTAATTTGTTTAGTTCGCGGGGAAATTAAGTGCAAAGCCGGGGATCTAGACTACGTGGTGCCCACAGCTGCCGAAACCCCGTGGGGGAACGCCCACAACCCGATGACATTGTGGCCCTCCCCATTGGTTATTCCGAGAACTGTCACTTGACTGGTTAATTAAACTGGAATTTAAATGTACAATTTCGGTTAATATAACATGAACCTTTATGGAAGACTGCCCAAATCTTCAATAAGCTCACAGAGATTTTGGATCATTGGTGGCAGAGTGTCTTCAGGAAACGGAAGTGGGCAATTCCCTTCCAAGACTTGTCGGGCAATAGCCATGATAGCCCGAGGCTTGCTGAGCTCACAGAAGACGGTAGGAATTCCGCTTTCGCCGTTCCGAGGCTGGGAAATGGTCAGCCCCGGCCGACCATGCCCATGTGCCAAGAAAGCCCTGATAGGTGGACCATGCGGTCCATCGAGTGAAATGCACGGAGGCAACTCTTGTTCGCTCAGAGGTGTGTGAGGCTCATGTCTCGTAGACTCGCCACATTGAAGAAGCCCAAAGACCCATAGGACCAATGCGGCGTGGTAAATAGCCATGGCATCAAAACCACGTAACTGGTGGGCTGCAACTGCACGGGCAGCGCGCAAGACCTGACCAGCGTGCCATATACCAGCTCGAGCCTCTTTGGTACGACTCCACTCACGAAGTCCAGGGTATGCCCGACGAGCATCGAGCTCTCCCAACTTCCCTACAAACCGTTGTATTGCATCCACATCAATGTGAAGAAACATCATAACAAACTCATTGAGTAAGGTGATGACAGGGGGGGTATTGCGTGCTTCTTCTTGTAACGACTTCAATGTTGTATACCTGTGTGGGCGTCAGCAGACAGTACACATATGGCTGGGTTGAATTTACATATCATCTTGTCTGCTCTGCAGCCACAGCTGAGTCATAGCACGTGAACCAAAAGGTGACCCTTCGGATAAGATCCTCTGTTGGCGAAACTCCCATGTTTGGACAGCCAAACCATGTAGTAATGCTGTTCTCGCAATGTCAAAATCTTGCTCTGTAGAAATGGTTGTTATCAAAGTCGGATCTGATAGCAAATCCCGCAGGCTCAAATCAGAACCCCCAACCGATCGATACCTCTCAGCCCAAAGATTCCTCCATGCGCTTGCGTTTGGCGCAAGCCAGAGATCTCTTGCGGCGGGAAATGGGAGAGTCAACTCAGTATAGGAGATTAAAGCCGGTCGATTCATCGCCATAGCAACTTCCACATCGTGGCCGAATAAGTGATATGCCAGTCTTACCCATATAAGCATAGAAAGAGGCGTGTAGAGCATGCAATCATACCTTTTTAGTGATTCTTGCTTTATCCATTCGTGCCACACTTTCGTAAGCGAAACCTCATCATCCCCCATTGGTGGCGGAAGGCGAGAATATGCTGATCGGTCAAAAGCGACAGCACGCCGGAATGCCTATGTGTCTCAGCTAAGAAAATCGACCACCAGTATAAAGGAGCGTACCGTGCATAAAGGCTGTAAATAACTCTCGGCAATTTGCATTTTGCGCTTATAGCCACAGAATATGCCAATGTCCAACCAAAGCATCGACGCTTGTAGCCACTGTAGATCTCGTAAAACACTATTGTCATCTTCAACCTGAAACAAGACGCAAATTTTAGTCCAGAGCTCTGGAAGGCCTGGTGGAAGAAGCTCACCAGCTGTGCAAGAGAAGCTCGCGTAATTTCTTGCAAGATAATGCCGGTTTTGTTGATCGAAGACAAGCCGCAGCAGACACACCCAGCTGCAACCAGGCCAGTTAGTAGCTCTGGCCGCAATTGCTGCTCGTAAAAGGTATAAGGATGAATCCAAGCATCGGTCTCAGTTCTCTTTCCGATCCCAATTTTGATAAGCGTATCCAGATATTCGGATGACGGGAAAGAAGAGACCGAGAGTCGGGACCCGGCGGTTTGCACCACTAGCTTGAATATGTCATCTCGTGCCTGCATGGAGAGTTTTTTACCTGGTATCTGGAGAGCCTCGAGCCGGTTCCTGTGGGTCGGCGAGATACTATCACCATCTCGTAGAGGAATCCTTTGCTCTTCGCTAAACGCATGCTGATTTTTTGCAGGCACCCATTGCCTATCAGAGTCAGAATCTGGCAATGAAGCAAATGATTAGCCAACAACGTACCAGAATGAGCGCTCGAAGGCTGCAGCTCGTCGACTGGCCGATTCTTGATAATCGAGCTCTTTGTTCTGCAAATCTTCAAATCCCGGAAGAGGGACTGAGTTGTCAAGTATACGATCTAGGTCGGGGATGAAATCAGTGCCGAAAAGATCATTTCCTGCGAAGCTGAAATCAGTGTCTAACATAAAGTCGAATACTCCACGGGGCTGGTGGGTGCCATGTGAGCCTGTTATCATGCCCACATCAACGCCCGGGAGCATTACTTGCTCAAAGAATACGGGGAAGTTGCTCAAGTTGGGGTCTGCCGGTATCAAATTCTGTGGAAGCAGTGCATCTAGAGCGAGATCATTGCCCAAAGTGGAACTGTATGGTTCAGGGAACCCAGAGTACGGCTCTTGTGTGGGGGGCCCACTCAGCTCGGATGGACCCGAGTCCGGGGTTGTTCCTATGATTGACACACTAGACAGAAGATTCGGCCCATGCTCCCTGGGGGACGGTTGAACTTGCATGGGTGACGGGTATGATATGGGATCGCGAGACTGACGGGATACACGGGAAGAACGTGCAACACAATCGGTTTGCTTCCTCCGGCATCTCTACTCAACTGATTAGACACAGCGAGAACCCTTGGAGCATCTGCGTCATACTTGACACGGCCTATCATTGTCGCAACTCAGTTTGGCAGTAGCACAGGCTTCACAGGCCTCGATGGCTCGCTCCCGTGAGTGATGTGTTGGGGTGGTCCCATCAGATTCTTTTTCGTGGACAGCTTGATGCCGTTGCAAAACATCCCTATTCCGTGAGTCTCCAGTTTGGTGCGGACAACGCTTGGACCCACCGACGATTGAACCCGCGCGAACAAACGGGACATTGGTAAGTTCGTTCGTTGCGATCTGAGGATGTTTCAGCTGGTTGATTTTGTTTGACTTTCCCACGTTAAGTCGAGATGAGAAATCACTCACGGGAATCTAGATGACGCGCCAAATGATCCGGTCGCTCGTACGCTTTGTTGCAATGAGGGCAGTGATGGTTCCCAGTCTTACCCCTCAAGGAGCGTCGTGGAGTCTGGGGGATTTCCATTGCCAGGCATATTTGAGGGATTTGACGAGTCTTGTAATTTTGCGGGGGAAATGAAGTGGTAGAGGCGTCGGGACGCGTTAGTTTTGCGGGCCACTTGCGCATTCGGCACAATCTAGCGATAGCCTCGGAAAGTATTCCTGAAGTCCAAGGTTGGTAACTCTGAGCCAGGAATATTCTCTACTTATCTCCTAGGAAGCTACTCTCGATCTCTGTCTCCAATATGCTCTCGAAAAGATTCTTCATGTTCATGCACGGCACTATCAACTAGGCCTGAATATTTATATGCTCTTCTCTCTTTCCATCCGCCTGAGCCAGTCCTTTGCCCCGCGATACTGGCAGTTGAAGTCCATGAATTCCTCGGGGTTCCTAAAAGATCATTAACCCAATGACCAGCGACACCTCCCGATACCACGTACATTGTGACAGATTTATTCCCCTGTGCTGTCCCGGGCCTGGCTGCCTCTCGGCTGTATGCCTGAACAGAGCTCACCCGTGAAAAGCGCGATTGGAAAATATTCTACGCGTTGTCGGTCAATGATTTTCGGCGCAAAAGCTGATTTAACACTTCAGGACGACTCCACTCACCTCAAGAATCTTGGAAAGGTCATCCAAGGCTGGCGGCTCATGTACATCGTTCAAAAATGAACCCAGTGCCTCGGAGTCTTCAATTGCCTGGCTCGCCCCTTGACCTTGAGTTGGCAGCATCGCGTGCGCAGCATCACCAATGAGAATCACCCGATCACGGTACCAATTTGTCAAAGGATCCTAAATCCTATCAGCGAGACTTCCAAGGTTGCTAAAACATTGTGGAGTGGGAGATACCATATCTCTGAGCTGCCACAATCCAAGGTCGGGTGAATGTCTATTAAAAGATGTTGAGTAGTGCCAATGAGTTTCCAAGCTCAACATAGTACATACCGGAAGATGTTCTTGACCCATGATGGAAACTCTCGGAAGGTTTCAAGCATCTTTTCGATATTTCCTTCAGATACCCACGACTGCTTGAGAGTAGGATCCTCGGTCATCTGCTCGTCTGGAACCAAGGCAACAATGCCATAAACTTCACCTTGTCTACCGGGACCCATGATGAGACGGCAATTGTGGGCCACGATCATGGATGTGAATGGCTCGCGGGGGTTGATTTTAGCACAAAATTCCGGTTCTTCCCTTTCGAGAATCTCAGTTGGCACCTGCAACCATCAGCCTAGGTGAAGAGTTTTGTGAATTGGTCAACGCACCATGAGACGGTAGGCTGCACCAGGATTAGCATAAGTCAGAATGATAATTGGCTCTTGGGTCAAAGGCTTACCAGAGTGACCGGTGGGTATAGGGCTCGGGTTGTCCTCAACAACATGTTTGCGAAGTACGCTATGGCTAGACATGGCGCCGTCAGTCTCCGATGCACAGAAAACTCGAGATAATCTGCTTACATTCCATCTGCACCAATTATGAGATCACCCTTGACAACCTCGCCCCCTTCCAAGGTCACGGTGCCGCGAAATGCATCACATTCGAGCACCCGACAAGATACACGCACGACTACTGGATCGCCTGCTCTTTCTGGCGAGATCGCTGCTTTCTTCAACGCTTCATGAAGATCTTTTCGATGGAATAGCAACCTCTCAGCTCCATACTTATCTTTTGTCGCCAATGGAATGGTTCTGACAAGATCTCCGTCGGTGTTGTAGATGCGAAATCCTTCATCTACCATCTGCTGGGCTTTCAGAAAATCCTGCTCCAATTGCCATTCCAACCCAGCAATTCTAGCTGCATTTGGTTGAAGAGAAATCAAAGCCCCAATCTCTTTGTTGAGACTCGACTGCTCTAGAATTATGATTTGTCGATCAGTGGCTCGGAGAGCAATGGCCGCAGTGAATCCGGCGATACCTCCACCCACAATGATGATACGAAAAGGAGCCATTCTGAGTTCTTCGGTTTCTCCGCTGGAGCGAAGATGCTATCTCTTTTACTGCCATTTCAGCAGCAAGAATAGCTTAGCGTCGCCCACTTTTCCTTTTGGATTCCCCCACCCCCACTTGCCGAAATCCGGGGCAGTTCGGAGATGAGGAGAGGACTAGTGCCAATGGGAACAAGTGATTTTCAATCTTGTGATGGATTTTCAAAGACTTGATGTGGGCCGGGGCTTCACTTCCTGTCTGTGCCTCGAATTGGTTGACAACGGCTATATAATGGATCCAGACCTCGTTTGGAGGAGGCACCCTTGAACACCAGAAACAAAAATAGGTGACGTTTTTTTGACAATGTCTACTTCAACAACTATGACCCAAACGGTGGACCAGGTTACCAACCTGCATGGCTTTGGTAGAATGCGTGTTGATGGTACCGACAGGCAGTTTGGTGATTTTCGCGATGCCCTGACTCGAGATGGGTTTGCCATCGTTAAAGGCGCTATCCCCAAGGAAAGAGCACTGAAATACGCCGATGAGATGTACTCTTGGTTGGAGGGATTGTAAGTGATCAATCGAATCGGTGTTGGCCTGGATCAACTAATGTGCAATTCAGCGAGTTAGGATTTGATCGAAACGATCCATCCACTGTACAGAAAGATAAGCTGCCCATTCTTAACGAGAAGGGAATGTGTCTTCATTATGCTCTTCCCCATGAGAACTTCGTTTGGTCTGTGCGAAGTGAGCCTGGCGTGATTGGGGCCTTTGAGAAGGTATACGATGACGAGGATTTGATTGTCTCTTTTGACGCGATCAACATCCAATTTCCGAAGTAAGAACATACGAATCTTATCTTCAAATTGGCCAACCTAACAATCAAACAGCCGTACTGACGTTCCTCCAAACACGCCCTGGCCTCACCAGGACCAGGATCCCAAGAAGCACGGCTTCCGCTGCATGCAAGGACTAGTCAATCTGCTCCCCAACGGACCCGAGGACGGTGGTCTCATCGTTTGCCGCGGCGGCCATTTATTGTCTGAGCAATTTCACAAAGAAATGGCCGACGAGGAGCTCATTCCAGCCTGGACGCCGGAGTGGTACGGATTTACAGACCGGGGAATGAAATGGCTCGAGGATCATGGCTGCAAGTGGGAAAAGGTCAGCGCTGAACCAGGAGACCTCCTCCTGTGGGACTCGCGTACGCCACACTACAACCTCAGTCCAAAGAAAAAGCAGCCCCGGCTCGCTATATACACCTGTTACATGCCCGTCGCGGACGCAACACAGGAGGATCTGCTTCGTAAGAAAGATGCATTTGACCGACGTGTCGGCACTACCCACTGGCCTAATGCGAAGCATACGGGATCGAATGTTGCACAACGAGATGGCGAAGAAGATCCTCACAACCGCCTCCGGCCATTAGTTGAGCCTGTGCTTGGAGAGAGGGCTTACAAGCTGACTGGCATCCCCTACATCAATGAGTGATCGTATTTTTCCCTACCACGTCAGATCACAGGTCCAAGAATTCGCGGAAATGGTGTCTATAGGCCTCATGAGCCCAGTTTGATTGAATTTAGATATCTTGTATAGCTCAAATTTTGCGAACGCACGTTCTCTACCAACACGTATAGTGGCATACATCGACCTCACATGTGATGCAGATCTTCCCCTCTCAACCAACCACATCACCCCATAACGCTATGTTGTCAGCGATTTTCCGGCATCTCTGTGATCCGGCATGGCACTCTGCGAATTTAGTCTCTACAAATCTGCCGTGGCTCTCGCAATATCGTATGATCGCGGTTGATGCCATTCCGATCTTTTTACAGCGATGATGTGTTTCTTAACTCCATCTGATTGGATTTTAAGAGCGTCGAATGATTCGGATTTGATTGCAAACCTCGGTTATGAATTTAGCCTCGAATATCCGTATACATGAGTGCTTCATGATGTCTGCTAATCAGCCTCCTGGGTGGGGTTTCCCGAATTCCTCGGTCCGCAATGCGCATAGTCCATTTTGTGTACAAGCAGGAGATGAACATTGTAGATACGAAGGAACAGGCCTGAGTAAGTATGTCCAGATGCATTTAACCAGCGCCGATTCCAGGTAGGCTAGATAGTGAACATTTTCAGTATCTGAATACCCGATCATTTTTATCGTCTAAAGATGGCGTCGGTTGTTACGATGAAAGACTTCGAACAATATGATTCAAGAAATTTTCTGGCCCAGACATCTCTGCAACAGCGGGTAATATGCGTGATACTAGCACTGGCTACTTATCTATTCGCAGTCCAAATTTTGCGGTTCAAGCGACGACAAGCTCTGCAGGAAAGATATAGCTGTTATGCAACACGGAGATCCATGGGGAATATGACCGATCAAGATGCATGGGCGATTCAGAAAACCATCATGCAGACTGAGTTCCCATTCATAGTCCTCAAATCGTTGCAGTTTGCCCTTTTTCGAGTATGGATGCCGGCCCAAATGTTTCATACAAAACTGACTTCTGAAGACATATGGCATCCCAACAATATCAACACTTCTCTTGAAGACATCTCAGTTCTCAGACCCTTCGACCTCTTTCAAACGGTATGCCGACACAGGCATCTTGATTGGTGAATTCATGGCCTTCGATCCACGCTCCGAGCGAGCACAAACAGCGATAGCACGGACAAAATACCTACACCAGGGCTACCGGGCCAGTGGCAAGATTCTCGAAGCCGACATGTTGTATACACTCAGTCTCTTTGCCATCGAGCCAATCCGATTTGTGAAACTTTTCGAGTGGCGTGAGATGACCGAGATGGAACGATGCGCTGTAGGAACATACTGGAAAAGCCTTGGAGATGCACTAGGGATCAGTTTTGATGCACTGCCATCTGGAAAGATTGGGTTTCAGGACGGGCTGCATTGGCTGGAAGAGATCGGGGCATGGAGTCATGCTTATGAGGTACAGCATATGAAGCCGCACCCTCGAAACAAGGAAATTGCAGAGAGGACAATCGATGTTCTCCTGTATAGTTTGCCTGATATGTTGAAGCCGCTAGGGATGAATTTGGTGTCATATCTGATGGATGAACGACTGCGTAGCGCAATGATGATCGACCCTCCGACTGTGATGTACAGTGGAATCTTTGCCTCGGCGTTCAACTTGCGACAGCTGTCTCTCAGACACCTTTCCCTCCCACGACCAAACTACATGCGACTCGACGTCTTCGCCCAAGAACCCAACAAGTATGGTCGCAATTGGGTGACTATATATGAGGGCGAGCCATACTATGTCGAACCGAGTATCTATAATCGCTGGTGTCCAACTGCATGGCTAATTTGGGCTTTGGGACGGCCTATTCCTGGCGATGAGGGAGACAAGTATTGCCCTCGAGGTTATTTTACCCCTGATCTAGGGCCGAAGTACTTTGAAGGGAAAGGGCATAAGGAGCTCAAGGACTTTAAGGAGAGTCTTCGCCAACAGCGACAGGGGCAGTGTCCATTTCCCTAGCACCTGGTAGTGGCATTGGAAAGCTCAGCTAAACGAGGTCCAATCCTTGAGGCTGGAAATTACCATACCACACTCCATGTACATGCCAATGGTTGTTCCGAGGTAGATTCTCAGTCAAATGACCAGAGTGGAAAGAGACCATCGAATCGCGTATCGTAAAAAGATAGAGATCATAAAATTCTATCATTGTCAAGTGCTTCGGTCGATTAATACTGATGGGTGATCTGTAACTTCTCTGATTTACATGGCGCAAGACCAAAAAACAAACAAACACAAACATTAAATGGAAACACGCAGAAAATATTTGCACATCGGGTATCTATCAAAAGGGCCGGGAAAAATCGTCGGAGATTGAGGATGACTGGGTAGGGTATAGGTATCGAATATTCGCTGTGATGTGAAACAGTGAATGATGAACGCAATCAAGGAAAGGCATAAAGTCAGAAGTCTCATAGTACAATCCGCGAGCAAACGAATGAGGAAATAACCCACATCGACCAAAAGAGAGAGGATTTCAGAATGAAAGACATCGAAGGGGTATTGTGCAAGATATATCGGCAAACAAGAAATGTATGGATCATCCCACCAGGAGATGAGGGCAAAAATGGGCTCATGTAATCGGATCAGCGGCAATAGATGGCGAAGTAAATGGTTGATCAAGAGATGGTGAAAGGACAAAGGATACTTCGGCAGAGGAATCCGCAGGCGAGAACATTTCCTTATACTCAGAAGAAGGACTGAGCAGCCCACGACCAACTTCACCAAGTTCGCCGAGCTCTTCCGGCGCGAGGACGCGGCCGCCCAACTCAACATCTTGAACATGAACATTGTATTCAAGTGCCCGCTGGCCTTCTTTGATGAGTTCTTCGGTCCAATTTAAACAGCGCTTGAGACTTTGATTCATCTTCTGGCTGTCCACGAGAACTTCTTGATGCTTTGCCAAGTCAAGCATCACACGTTTTTCATCATGAACACGGTGTTTAGCATCATGCTCTGCCAGCGAGCCCGGGCTGAGAACGCCATCATCAACGATTGAGTCCTCGTCACTTATTTCGGATGTGTCATCGGGCGACTGAATAGAATATTCGCTTTCGCCCTCGTCCATCTCACTAGTGGCCGAAAGAGCCACCCCGGAGAATGAGCGAGCAGACGGTGCCATTGAAATGCGCCCGGAGCGACTTAATCGTCTGAATCGACGTAGTTCAGCCTTCTGCTGCCGCATTTCCCGCTCCAGTGTCCGGTTGATGGCAAGTAATGATGAGTTGCTGATTTCCAGATCCATGATCTTACGTTCAGTTCGCGCATTGAGAGCTGCGTCACTAGGTCCATCAGATTTGCCGGGACTGAGAGGTGCGGGAGGATATGTGTCTGTTGAGACAGATGAGCCATTGCTGAAAATGCGAGGGCGAAGGGCGGGTATGTGTTCCGACAACACAGGCGCTTGGCCACCAGGAGAGGGGTTTCCGGAAACAATGAGTGGACTTGCCCGCAGGCTCTCCTGCAATTGATTAAAGTGCGCATTGGAGTCAACACTCGAGGATTTCTGATGCTGAATCTGTGGTTGAGGTCTGTCGGAGATCATGCTTGACGGCGTTCCAAGGTGTGGAATAATACCCAGACCATTGTCGAGTCCACCCAGGAATGAAGCCCTCGGATCGTCCGGCGGGGGTGAGGCCGCGTCTGAAAGCCTGGGAGAGCCTAGGCGCGGGGATGGCGAAGATATTGAATTGCCCGCGGGAATGGGGCGAGAAGAGCCAATACCCCCTGATCGACGCTTTGAGGCAGTAGATATCGCACTGGATTGGTCACTCAAAGACTTTCGTTCTTGATCTCCATTCGCATACACGAAGCTCGATGCGGGAGATGTGTGTTGCCCCTGAGGCCGTGGACGAGGGGCAGTAGGCACTTCGGCGGGATGGGATGAGCGTGCATCGGATGCATGGAAGAACAGTGGAGCCCCAGACGTTATCTCGGAGAATGAGTTTGGGCGTGTGATGGGTTGTGTGTCTGTCGTGAGAGTCTTTGCCCTCAAACTCCTTGCCTGGTCCGGTTTGACCCCGCGAGCCGGGCTACGGTCTCGGCGACCATAACCGACCGTTGACTTGGAATATGGAGTTTGGGGAGAGGGTACAGGGGGTGCGTTTGTCGGAGAAGAGAATGCGCCATCTCTACGGGTGGTTCGTGGGCCAGATCGCGGAGTGACATTGGCACTCAGGAAGGCCGGATGAACGGCGGGGGAGTCGTCTTTGGAGGGGGTGGAATAAGGGTTATCGGGGGCGAGGCGGCGTGGTGTGAGCCCTGCACCTGGACTAGGACTTGCAAGCTTCGGTGTCAAAGGAGCCTTGGGATTTCGGTGAAAGGCAGCGCTCAAAGTCGGGGTGAACGGTTTGGCGAGATGGCCATTGTTTTGTTTATCGTAGGTCATAGTTGCGGTGCGGGGGAATGCAGGTTATGGCATTGCATGCCACAATTCATAAGCATGATGGCACCAACAAGAGAAGCACCTTGAATGACAGGAAGTTCTCTTGTGGCCTGATGAGAGGAGAGTCGAAAGACATGAGAAAGTGACGAAAACATTCCCACCCGATTAGGCTTAGACCGCCGCTTCACCGCAACGTGGAATTCCTTACTTCCTCACAGCTACGAATATCAAGGGGAAGACACTATTAGCCTTCATATTGATTTATGACTGATCTGATTGTTGGGCCCCCGAATCTAGGGTTTTTATTGTAGCTAGCATCTTCATATCCCTTGTTGATGCTGCAGTTCACGACAGTTCACGGCCTGCCGCGGGTATGGACTTAAGGGGGTGGAGACTGGAAACGGGGCGAGTCTGCAATAGAGCGATTATTGATGATGGGCGTCCCGGATGTGAAGCTAATCGTACATCGCGGTCAGGTGAGTGGTTTGTATCAACGAAGTCTGGGGAAGAGGAAGATAGGGCGGGAAAAAGAGGGAAGGGGGGGAGGGGAGGGCTTTGAACATCAGGGGATCTGCACATTCCGTCTGTTTATGCCACGAAGAGGGAAGAGCCGTGAAGAGTGACTGCGAGCTGGTATCATTGAAAAAAAAGCCGCTTTTGCTTAGGATCACCCTCCAATGCCCCCGACTGGGAGAGGACTTTGCGTTTTCTGGTGGGCGGGGGGTTTGGAGCAACCTCTGTTTCTTCGGTGGCCTGCACGGCCTCGCGAATAGTCCGCTTTGAGAGGCAAAAATCCACATGTTCATTGAATGTTCGATCATCTGCGCTTTGGGGCCGACCACATATCGGGCAGTCCCATAAAGGCGGATCTTCCGTGACCGCAGACTCCTCTCGCCGAGGAGTTGAAGGCACCAGAGAAGCATCTTGGCTCAACTGCTCCAGGTCATTCATCTCTTCCTGAACCTCCTGTCGAGCAGCTGCCTCGAATGCCTCCTCTGCATCAATCTCATGATTGGACTCTGCATTAGCAGTCACTTCGTCGGCAACCTTGGTCTCAGGCTTAGGATTTGTGATCGCGCCAAAGAAATTGATACCAGCTTTTTGGGTGCTGACCAAATTTGAGCACCTTAAACCAAGAAGACGTAGCTTCAAGCCCGGTATGTCTTTCTCAAGTTTGGCCAACATGGGCAGTGCAAATGAATACAAATCTTGGGCCCGAGAAACAGCCCGAGATGGGGCGGTCTGGCGGGTTAGCACTTCAAATGTATGAAGTTTGACTTTGAGGGCGAGCGTGCGTCCTTTGAATTGTGTCCGGGCAAGGTCCTTTTCGAGCTCCTGCGCAGCCCACCATAGCTTTGCTCGAAGCTCTTCCTTGTGTCCAAGCTCATGAAAAGTAGTCTCGGTGCTCACACTTTTGCGCTCATGGGTTTCAACCGGCTCAATTTTGGTACGTCCTAGACCCAGGTAACATTGAGCTAAGAACTGAAAGGCCTTTTCGCTAAATAACTTGGTTAACAAGGCTCGCTGCGGGAATATTTCACCACACTTTTTCACACCTATCGATTCGAGCTCACGCTCGAAGACTCGGCCAACTCCATTGACTTTGCGCACCGGGAGTTCGCGCATAAACTCCATGATTGCAGTGCGCTCGTTTGGGACACGAAACTGGCCATTTGGCTTGTTTATGTTTGAACAGATTTTCGCAATCTTGGCATTGGCGGCAATTCCAGCTGACACAGACACCCGAGTGGTCTCTAGAATCTCAGCTCGCATTCGTTGGACAGCCTCTTCTGGGTTGAGCTGATTTTCATCGCAGTATGCTGTAATGTTCAAGTAGGCCTCATCGATACTTGCACTTTCGAAAAGAGGGTCGTATTCCGCCATGATGGTACGCATTTCCTTTGCCTTTTCCGTGTACTTCTCGTAATTTTGGGGCAATAGAACGAGCTGTGGGCAGAGCTTTTTGGCCACAAACGATGCCATGCCACTTCGAATTCCAAATTTCCTAGCCACATAGTTGCAGGTCGTGAGGACGCCTTTTCCAACTGCCATGGGAACTGTCTTTAACTCCGGCCGGTCCAGCTCCTCGACGGCAGCAAAGAAAGCGTCACAGTCCACATGGATGATATGCTGGGACAGATCACGGCTGAGCTCCAACTCCGCAAGATATTCGTCGGCTCGTCGTAGATCATGGCTCAGATCCAACGACTCTAGTCGGGCTTTTTGTTTCAAAATTCGCTCGATTTTGAGCGTCAGATTCCGATCTCGATCTTGCTCATGGTTGAAGAATTTAGATCCCTTGGACGCATTGTAGATAACTTCTGATACCTGTATATCAAGTTCAGCTACTGAAAGGCAGTCCCATGCAACAGCATAAACACCACGAGGCCCACCTTTTGCTGATCGACTGAGTCTTGGCCCGCCTTCGTTAGAGAGGGACCCAGTAGCTGGTACTTCAGAGTCTCAAAGTCATCCGTTGGGGCCAAGTCAGATTTCACATCTTTAGCAGGCGTGTCCCCTGAGGACTGCATTTTTTCAAGGGTCCCATCGATACGCTGGAGAGGAAGTGGACAATGAGAGGCGCGGAACCAGGCTGACGCGGAGTCACGTGCGCACGCGTTTCAATTTGCGCGCTGGTGCCTAAGCTGACCTCAAACTACCAACAATTCTCCGACATGCGGGCCCTTCCTGATGTGGGTTCTAGATTCGACCGGTGATTTCCTAGAAGGTAAGATATACAAACCATCGGTGTTGGTCCATTTTCTCACATCTCTCAGGGAAGCGCGTATGGTTGCGTCCCGGGAAGAAGTATCTCTTCGGGCGATTCCAGCGAGAAGGAGGTATGTACGGTGTCACTTGGGAAACCACGGATGAAGTCTGACGCTCATGAACAGTCCGTCATGCGGTAAACCACAACTCGATCTCTCGGAAGCATATGACAATCGAGATCTCCCCAGTCAAACCTAAAGATGGAGTTCGCTTATCCCCGCCGCGATACGCCTTGGAGTTACTAACCGCGGCTACAGTTATCACTCCGGGCGCGATCTGAAATTACAATCACCGACCTGGCCTCCAAGAAGGGCACCGTGGTGGATGGATTGAAAATTGAAGGAGAACACAAACTCGAGAAGAACGATGAACATGTCATTCAGCTTGCAAAATATGAGCATAGGCTGCGGTATGGATACCTCTCTTCAGACAGGTCTGGAATCATGCTGACTATGTCTGTTAGGATCAAGTGGGAGCCGGTGGTCCTTAGCTTTTCACTTTCTTCCAAGGAAATGCGAGGGGAAGATCCTCTAGCCCACGTTCGTTCGCGTCTGGAAGATCTTGATGTGAAGACTGTCGTTGACTACATCGGCGATCAGACTACCTATGTGGTGTCAAGCAAAAGAAATACTGCCAAAGGTCTTCAAGCGCTAGTTAATGGGAAGTACATCGTAGATGATTCCTTCATTGACGCCCTTGTCTACGCGGCCACCCCCAACGATCTCGAAAATCTGGAGTCTTTGTGTCGTCTGGAAATCGACTTTGAATCGGAATGGCCGGACGCGAGGAAACACCTCCCACCCCCCGGCAAGGATAATATCGATCGGCCCTCAACGGCCTTTGCCCCGAACCCCGCCCGTCGAACTATATTCGACCAATACACCTTCATCTTTTGCGACCAATCACAGTTTGATAATCTGCAGGGGCCCATTAATAATGGTCAGGGCAAGGCACTCTTCCTCGAGATCACAGAGGGGAGTACAACTGCTGTGGACATTGTCCGCTTTATGGAGAAGGCAGCAGGTCAGCAGGGCTTAGTCGGTGCTGGGCAACACAGCCCCGGTGGCGTCGTCCTTGTACGTTTTCGTTCCAAAGGCAAGTTCGAGTCTTGGGCTATAGACATAGGAAACGAAGTCGCACTGATGACCGACCAACGTGTAATTGAGCAACGAGAGTTCCTTGATGCCATTCTGGGGAACGATGCATCGCCTCTATGTCGCTCTTTACCAACAGAGGAAGGCTCGAGCCAAGCTCCTGTGTCACCTGGAATAGTTGCTCAACAAGATTCTCCGGAAGCTCCTGCCATTCCCGCACCTGCTTCGCCTGTGGAGCCAGAGCAACCACGCTCAATGTCTAGAAACAAGTCACCTTCCCGCCCATACGTCAGCAAGATGAAGATTTTCGACGATGGGTTCGACATGGATTCGGTGCCCATGTACGCGCCAGAAGAGGAGGAGCCTACCGTCGACACTCAAGTCATGGATATCGACACCCAAGCAGCTCCAGAACCAGGGCAGCCTCTAGACACAGTGAAGGAAGAGCCTGAAGATGATATGGTTTCCGAACTGCTCCCCGGCGCTCGTGCAATGAAGCGTCGCAGGGCTGAGATGCCACACCACTCGGAAACCAACATTACAGCCACCGAAGCAGAACCTCCGAAAAGAAAGCGACCCAAGCTTGATGTGTTAGAAGCAGCACGCAAGCACCGCGAAGAAGAGGAGGAGCAACGAAAGACTGAGCAAGACCTACGCCCCGATGAAACAGATGTGGACGTAAATCAGTTGAGAAACCTGGCTATTGTGGAGGAGATGGAGGTTCCCGTTCGAAGTCTACCATTCGGGCGCGAAGATGAGAACATTGACAGATGGGATGACAAATGGAATGGCCGAAAAAATTTCAAGAAGTTCCGTCGAAAAGGGGAGTCGGCTGGTCGTTCGCGTATGCAAGCTGTCATTGTCCCTCTCGAAGAAGTCACCCGCAAAGAATATGGAGTTGGCGATCACTACTGGAGCGGCAATAATCAGCCGGTCGACCTTGTTCACACAGAAAACCAGGAAAATATGGAAAAAAGCAATGAATTCCCTGCACTGCGATCTGAAGAACCGGTCGCCACAGTCAACGCCCCGGAGCCTGTCCCAGAACCGGCACCCGCTCGACGCCCAAAGAGGGCTCGCGAGTCCCGTGACTCGGACAGTGACGATGGAACTCGATTCCGGTTCAGACGAAAGCGTTAATGTGACCTATATCTAATTTTGCTGTCTTTTCTTCAAAACTGATACCCGATATTCCATGTCTAAATTTGGCCCTTTCCCAAAATTTGTATTATACAAAAAAACGAGGGGAAAAAATCCCAGCCCTTAACAGCTTATATCTTCCAACCGATTATTCCCCCAGGCCATGTATATCCATGGATGCTTTTTTTTCTCTTTTAGGCATCACGTCCCATCTATGTCTATCAATCAAACACCACCTAGACAGTATACAAAGCCTGATCATCAGTTTGTCTGGTATTCAATCCCATCTCTCAGATTTTAGGATGGAATTTTCCTCTGAAGAGGCCCTAGACTTCTAATCCGATCTATTCTTCACTGCCTTCCAAACAGTGACTTTTATGAATAGTCTCACTTCACCCCAGGTTCTATATGGATGATGTGACATAGTTTGCTACTTGAACTATGCATTTATGTACGAACTGTTTTCAGATTCACCTGGGCAGATTTGGAAAGGCCGCTAACATAGTATAATGGAACTTGTGCCATGATACAATTCAAAATATCGCTCTATCGGACTTAGCAAGCAGCAATGGCCATTCAAAGCAAATTAGTACATGAAGACCACTTGAGCATGCAAACTATTCGTAAACGGTTCATTCGTAGACGGTTCATTCGTAGACGATTCATTCGTAGACGATTCATTCGTAGACGATTCATTCGTAGACGATTCATTCGTAGACGATTCATTCGTAGACGATTCATTCGTAGACGATTCATTCGTAGACGATTCATTCGTAGACGATTCATTCGTAGACGATTCATTCGTAGACGATTCATTCGTAGACTGTTCATGCCGTATAGATCCGTCATATCATTGTCTTCTTGGCCCTTGGGAAGCAGGAACAGCGTCACTGTCGTCCGCGTCACACGCTTCTAGGGCTTTAACGGGTCACACGCCTCGAGGCGGTCGAATCGGGGTCGATTATGTCGCCGGCGACATCATCGCCCAGGTGCACCTCCGCTTGTTTACATTTTCCCACTTTCATTCTTTGCACCTCTTGCTTCCTCCAGTTCTCACGACGAATTCATTCAGGATGCCGGTGGGAATTGAAACGCTCCCTCTGGAGCTGCAGGAGGCGATACTCGACTTCATCTTCAACAGGAAGCCCCCGGTCCGTCTGGCCGACGGGGAGACACCTAAGCCCCGCATTCCACAACTAAGGGATCCGCTGGCGATCCTAGCCCAAGCCCGACCCCAGTGGAGGGCCATCATTCAAAGTCGACTGTACAGTCATAGTAAGTTTCAATCCGATCGTGCAGTGACTGGGCCATTCATCTGACATTGACCAGTCAGAATCAAGGCCAGTGCGACAGGCTTGAGGGAGTGCAAGCAATGGTTCACCGATCATCCATACCTGGCAGAACATGTGAAACACATTGAGTTCTGGCTTCCTGTCTGGGGTCCGCTGAACGCTGATGGCAATCCAGTGGGCCGGCCACAAAGGTTGACTGCTGCTCTGACACCCGACGGGAGGTTGACGTTTATCGATGAAACCAAATATCCCAATGCGCAGGGCAACGCATCATTGAATGAAATCTTCCACGTTGTGAAGAGGTTCTTTCCTTCGGCCATCACAATGACTATCGACGGGGGCGAGAAACACCGGATCCAACCCGCCGAGATACGGTTTGATTTGGACAGCGACGGGACCGTTCTTTTGCCGCTGACTAAACTCGATAAAATCGGCACCCTTGTGATGCGCGGTGCCTGGAACTTGGTGCGAAGATGGGAGACATGGCGTGAGATTGAAGCGGCGCTTCCCAACATGACCGGGCTTCACTGTTTGTATTCCCATGCCCACAACGGGAACTACATGACGACGTTGTACTTGGCGGCAGATTTCCCCGAGAAGCTTGAGCATCTCAACTTGACGCTCGAGGGATACAGTGACAGGCGGGATAATATCCACAACAATATCCCCAAGCCCATTCTCCTGCCAATTTGCCAAAGTCTTGGTGTAGCCACATACCAATTGAAGACCCTCACTTTGACCGGCCGAGTTTGCACTGATTTCTTCAACGCACTCCTTTGCCACGGACGCAGGGTGAGCGCGGGAATCTCGCCTCTTCGTACGATCGATATCACAGTGAAGGGTTGTTGTTTCCACCAAGTTGCCCAGGATGAACACGGTAATGATCGGGTTGTCACCTACCAATCGGCTGGTATAAATAGCAGGTTGTTCAATCGCTCATTCCATTCACTGGTTTGCGAAGGTCTCACGGCCCTTCAAGTGTTGCCCAACGTGAATCATCTCCGAATCCGATTCATCGATATGGATTCGCAGCTCCCTCTGCAAAATCCGTACTTTGAGCTCAAGGACGATCGGTGCACCGGTTTGTGGAGTGTTCCTATCTTACAACTACTTGAGATCTGCCGGCCGCGTGCCAGCTTTGTCGAGCTCAGCGATGGGATCGAGCCGGTATATGATGAGGACGGAGTGTTGGTAGATGTGTGGCCTGTTCGCTTTCGTCCACTCAGCATTCGGGCTAGACAGTACAGCATCCTCGAGAACCCTAACGAGCTTAATCCTGACCAGTTCTGATGCTGATGAGCAGTAAGGTTTTCCGTCCTTGTGACGGTTGGGGGAAGAAGTTGTGAAACGTGGAAGATGAGGGGTTGCTGAAGAGGTTGTCCACTGCTTATTCCTTTCTTTTTTCTTCTTCTTCTTTTTTTTTTTGTTTCACAAGTCATATCTCCAGCTGGCATCCTGATTTTGAGAAAACCTTCACATTCACATTGATGTGAGATAAGTTCTTTGTTCACTTCCTGCATATTGGAGCGATCATTTGAATGTTCCCATGAGCGTGGATATCATACTGCGTGAATATTTTGCTCGCTTGTTATCTTGTTGGATATCTTTTTCATTTTCCAACTACTCCGCGTAGTTATTGCAGCCGAATCGAAAATATTTCAATGAGCTCAACTGAATAGGTTTATTTGGGGTGTCTGTGGGGAAATAACCGGCCCCCGATAGATCTAACGGGCCTTGTACTTCTCGGTCATCTCCTCTGTTTCATCGGCTGCTTCGCCTCCATCCTGCACAATGATGCCCAGGATCCACACGTTAACGCAGAAGAAGAGCAAACCAGCAAGATACAAGCCAGGAACGAATGACGGCAGGCCTAAGAACTCGAGGTTGTAACCTTGGTGCAACCACAGCGCCTATTCGGTCGTTAGCTTTGATGAACTAGCTGACAAAAGGGTGCAGGGAAATGAAGGGTCAGACGCCACGAACCTGACCAAGAACCCAGAGGATCGCTGCGGAAACTCCTAGCGTTGGCTTTCTAATAAGAGAAGAAGATGGGAGATAGAATGGAAGGAGTACGAGGTACCACAGAAAGTACTAGGCGGATTAGCAATGATTGCGATCAAGTTGCAATGCCCTAACATACCTGACTTGTGCACACTTTATTGAATGTTACAAAAGCAAAGGTCTGTGCCAGCATCGTGGTTGTCAAGCTCTTTTTCGCCAGAATAAGCGGAAGAGCGATAACCACCAGGACGATTTGAGGGATGAAGGCCAGCGCCTCGAAATGAGTCTCAGCCCCGCCAGCAGCGGTCAGATATAACAGGCTGCTGTACGGGGAGAAGTTGTGGCGGTGGTCGATCCGAGTGAGATGGTGAAGGAAGGTATGCTGAAGAAATGACTGGCCGTACTGGAGATACATGACAGTGTTCAAGGCCGCGAAGCTAACGAGTGCAGCTGCAACGAATTTCACCCGGGATGGAGTCAAAAGTCTCAAAGCCTTAGACAGTAACCCAGATCCAGTCGAAGAAGACCCATCGCGCTCCGCATCCCACCACCAAAGGATAGATACGCCATAGATGAACGGATAGATCTTGAAGTGCACAGCAAGACCCAGTATGAAACCGGCAAGAATTGGTTTTTTCGTCAATGTCGCCCACAGCAAGGCTGTAACAAGCACACCAAGCAGTCCTTCCGAGCTGCCGCGTGTACTAATGTTAGCCACCATGGGATTCCAAAGCCAGACAGTGGCAACATAGCGTAGCGCCCGCTCCATTGGAAAGCGGTAGAAACGTGTCAAAAGTTGCACAATAAGCCATCCGGCCAAGATGTCGGATAGTGCAAAAAGTGCCTTTCCAAAAGCGAAAGTGAGCGTTGACCACGGCGTGGGACCTTCCCATGCTGTGGGGACCAACATCCACGCCAGAAGTGGCGTATAGCGATATGTATCACGCGCATAGGGTGACTTTCCGTCGGCAACGTATCGCGCTGCATCAGTAAATACCATGTAATCGATATCGGTGTATTTCAAGGCGGAGTGTGCATCCTGCCAGCCTCCATAGACCAGAAGTGCCAGTCGAAGAGCCGTGGCAGCGAGAAATACTCGTGGAGCAGAATTAAAGAGGCCCATAATTGATAGCCACGGTTCTCTTGGCCGAAACAAACGCAACGAATCAAGAATCAGTCGGTGGTCCAGCGAGCATAGTTTTGCTCAATTGGTAGAATTAGATTAGGAAGACCACCAGTGAAGGTAGGTTACAATTTTTCGTCCGGGTAATTTCAGATTCAGGGGCCTTTCAAGGCAACTCCATCACTTGATGTTGATGTTGATATTGATGTTGACGTGTAAGGTTGAGGCCCGCCCGGGATACGGAGCTGACTCAGCATCTTGATCGGCCCGCAGATTTCCCCTTTAGGATCCGAAGTATATCCCGCAACATTCGACATTCGACATTCGATCTGAGATTGGAGTGTTGAGGTTAGAGGTTTGGACTCGGCAGATAACACAGAAAGACAATTCAATTGCCTCTATCTCGGGCTTTGGGAGACTCACAAGGAGTCCGGCGGCCTTCGCCTATGGACGCCCTACTCTGCCAGTCTACTGCATCTGCACAAAACCCAACAACATCAAGGTTGTTTTTCCAGGTTTTCCTGTAAAATGTCTGCGATCCACCACTTCTGCTCTACTACAAAGAGCTTGTGATGTTTCCCTGTGTTTGGAATGCTAGATGGACGAAGTTTGCCAGTTATGACTCTTTTACGGTACGGGCAGGTTGGATTGCTGTGCAAAGTGGATTCCACTACTATTGGAGTACTTCCCCCGCCATGGCAACTTATGGTCGGTATTTTTCAAGTCAGAATATTGCTTAGGTTTTCTATCATATGTACGAAGTATCCGCTGATCGACGCATGGAGCTTGAGAATGCGGGGAAGGGCCCCGGCATGGAGTTGCGGGGTTGCCGATGAACCTTGATACAAACGTCTTCGATTCAGCTTACACGTCATCTCATGTACTTGTTCGAGATATCATTGGTCAGTTGGCTTGAACATGGCCCAATGCTGGTTGGAATGGGTGCTGCTGCGTCTGTACCACAGAGGGGGTGTCGCTTGAATCCCCCTGCATCCCCCCTTGAGGTCCAGATTGCCGAGTTATCTCTCCATGTGAAATGATGACCATCTAAGCTGACATTCTCACAGCTGCATTGGCTGTGCTCGGCCGATCAAATTTTTGATTACCATATTCACTGCGATCCAATCACCAACACGATCCTCATTGACACACTTGGAAGGAGAGCCAAAGCCCGCCCTAGAGACCTCTATTACTTTGAGAGATTAGAGATAAAACATCTATCAGGGATCTAAATGCAGATAGATGTGGTCTCTAGACTATCCTAGCCCCCATATACCCAATCACTTACCTATTGGCAGGCCATCTACTCCGTAGAAAGAGTTGGAGTTTCTGGCATCCTTCTAAGGTTTGTCTTTTGCCAATAACCACAGTTGCTCTATCATTTCATTCACTCCAAGCTGCCTCAATCCGCCAAGGTAGCGAGGTAAATGGATTCCCGGGCGTAAGGCCCGTGCAGCGCTAATGTATAGGTGAGCACATCGCACATCGTCAGGCCAAACAAGATCTGATGAGCTGCTTTGGGATATGAGGGGTCCTGGGGATTGGGGTGCATCGCATAGAGCGCCATTTCGTGCCTCGAAAGCCCTGTCGGTCAATCTGAAATTTGGAGCTTGGTAGATCGGTAGCCGCTCTGGGACAAGGGTGTGATGTGTATTCACCAAAAGGATCAGGATTAGCTAGCAGTGTATCTCATTGACAGGGATTTGTTAAGTCTTATCAAAACATGTCTGGTTTCATTGCTCGAAATCGAGTAGATACCCCGAGGCCTTCAGTCTAATACGGTGCCTGTAAACTCCTGAAGTCCTGAATATTCCCCGCAAACCTTGAAAAGAGCCTTGGAAGTTTGTCTTTATTTATTTCTAAACTCAATCACTTACTTGCCCTCGGTATTCTCTCTCAGCATATGATAATTTGCACAGAAAGGCGCTCTATTATAAAGAAACGACCCCTCTCGGCCAGTGTTCTTCGTATGCGGATCACATCATGACGAAAAGCTCACAAAGATATATCATCGGCGGCAATCGAGGACTCTTAAACCCAGGTCCCGATGATCTTGCAAAGTTGGAGAAGGTGCAATCTTCTATGAGCTCTAATAGCAGAAAGGATAAATTCCGGCGCCATTGCAGAAGGTTTTGGTGCATATATCTCATCGCCAACATCATTTTCTTGGCTATATTTCTGCCAGTCTTGTATGTCATCTGTGCCATCATGATACCCTATATGCCCTGAATGCTGATAAATTTGAAGTTTCTTGGTTGTGATCCCTGCCGTTGCCCAACTTGTCGTGAATAAATCGGATCTATGGATTGTCAATGCAGAAGTCCTGAATCCTACACCTACGACCGTGGAAATGACATTAGCAGCCAAGGTGGACCTCAAGCTTGCCCTTGGTGTTCGATTGGACCCTGTCATCTTCTATGCGTTTGCGCGCTCTTATGGCCACGAGAATTCCTATCTGCAAATTGATATACCTGGACAAACAATCAAAGGAAATTACACATTGGGTGTCGCTAACCAACACACCCCTCTACTCAATCTGACCACCTGGGAGACTTTTGTGCATCAAACCGTTTTTCAAAAGGAAACCGCACTATCTCTCTACGGTGTGACAAATGGGTATCTCGGGGTGCTGAAATCTCATATTGTACTTAACAAAGATGTGATGATACCAAGTGAGTCTCGTGGATTTTCTTCTGCATGACTGCAAGCTAAACTTACCACACAGCTCTAAACAAATTTGAGGGATTCTTCATAGCAGACAGTACTCTGATGCTACCAGCTGAGGACGACGGGACGAATCTAATTGCTAACATAACTCTCCCAAACCCAACTGTTCTTACTTTCCAAGTGGGCACTATCACACTCGATCTCAAAAGCGGCGACACGGACCTTGTGATCGGTAATGCGACTGTGGAAGACGTTATCCTACGGCCTGGAAACAACACATTCCCCCTGAGAGGCGTAATCGACCTCAAAAAGATAGTTGCCAATTTACTCGACGTTCTCGAATCACAAAGCTCCGCTATAAGGACCGGCAGTTTGTCCTTGACAGCAGTTACCAGAAAAATTGTATCAAACGGCGCCTTGATTCCCTACTATACGAACGTTCTTGGCTCATTGCCTTTAGTGGCAAACGTTGGTATTGGCGACGTGCTGAAAAACACACTCAAGTACTTGGGCACGGAAAGCAATCTCAATTTGACAGGCGCTCTGTCTGGTCTAATTGACAACGACAAGCGAAGAAGAGGCCCTGCCCTTCTGGATGGTCCGCGTCGAAAAAGCGGTGTATTTGATCATGATGCATTTGTACAGGTCACCCATCTGAAAAAGAACTCACTGGTCCAAAAGGTTTTTGAAGATGAAGATCCCGAGAAGCGCGACTTTTTAATAGATTCGTTGGCTCGTTACTATGCTTTGCTATGAATGAACGAATGGCCTCTTCGCATAATCACTCTTCATTGTATCGCCACAGCCGAATAGAAAATGTATTGTATGGAGCAGTCCATTCAATGTTGAGATGCTAGAAAATGCACTGCCGTAGTGTTCCTGAAGTCTGACATTACCAAGTCAATCAGGCCGGGGAACGGGGCCATCAATTTGGACAGAGCAACAATCAATAAATGAGATTTTGCTTCTCTGTTTCTCTCACGGTGTGAGTCTCGGGTCTATCTGGCTCAACTTTGATGAGATAAAATACAACGTTAAAGCAGGAGTAATCAAAGGAATCCAAGTCCCATAATACATTCGTTTTCAAATATGCCCTATGCTAACATGCTAAAAAGTGATATCGGGTGTATCAATTAACGGAAAAATGACAATTCAATAATAAAAGCCCCCAGGCCCGTAACTAGAATCAGTGGCCTCGAAGTATGCTGTATTTGGGGCTTTCTCCTGGTCAGGTGTCAGGACTTCTGCGGCAATTCCAGGCCAGAGATTATTATCACTCCAGCTCAGATACTCCCACAGATATTGTCCACCTAGCTCATCCGTGAAAGGGGTAGCGAGAGGATCGAGGAACCCATTATCAATCATAGTCGGATTGCTGCGACCCGGGTCTGAGGGGGATGAGAACAGAAGCGATAAATCCCGACCAGAAGAATAAGAGCCACCCAGCTGAGATATGGCAGATTCAGGTTCAGTGAGGCCCTGTCCCCGCTTACTAGCCTCGTAGATACGAGATATCGCATCCAAAGAGCGCTTCGCCGTATGTCCAAAAGACTGCATGCGAGCCAGTGTCATCATCGCCATCTCAACCTGTGCCTGGCATGATTCAACGGAGGCGCGTGGATCATCGGCTGTCGGATCATTAAGGAATAGTCCTACCAAGGGGACCATAGAAGCTTGGAAAGTCCACCAGACAGCGTTCCAGCCACAGAGTTGGTTGAGCTGAGCTGTAGCAGCAATATTCTCGATGGACTGTTGGGCAACCTCACGACACTTCTCTATTGCCGTGCGCTCTTCAGAGCGCAAAGCAATATAGGGGACGCGGCGCATGGCATAATTGAGCAACGTTGGCCGATACAAAAGCATCCGCTGGTTATAGTAGCGCCAACGCATAACAGTTCGAACAGTGTTGATTGATTCCGAGCAAGGCTCGTGATTCTTCAAAACGGATGGAAGGTTTTCCCACCATTCGAGTAGCTGGGCGTCGGCGTGCGCCATTTCCTGATGCTTAACCAGCGGTGCAGCAGCCAGGGACTCTTGCACCTGTGTTGCAATTTTGGCGAAGCGGATATTTTCTACTAGTGGTAGAATTTCGAGAACGTTTTCCTGCAAAACTGTTAGCGTTGTTCGGGTCCCATCATCAAGAGGGCCTTGCCTTGTCTCGACAGAGAGGAGGCTTGACAGTGATAGTCGAGCCAATGCGCCCCATGCTGGGTCGGCCTAGTGTCATACCCGCCCAGGTGTCCATGCAGAACAGAGACCACCATACGCGGCGCTTAAGATCCATTGAAGCGAGTTTTGCAGGGCTAGGCAGTTGTCTAGTATCCGCAAACTCCTTGTGAAGTCCCAAGGCAGCCGCCATACGTAGCGCAGCACCCATCAGAGAGTAGGCCAAATTGGGCTGGCTGATGTAGTGACAGTACCACCCACCGACGAGGCCCAGTGCTTGAACAATCTCGATGTGAGAGCTTCCTAGTGAACTGATACTCAGATGACTCTTGCAACGGAGAAAGTATGTCTGATGTGTCATATCATCGGGGCCCGTGGCTGCGATGCTTCCTAAGGCAAGAACAATGTTCAGCAGTGCGAGCCAATGGCCATCTCGGCGGCGACCGGCACAATAGGTTTCGCGGAAAGATTTCTCGTCTATCATCGGCGCAAAAGCTTGAAAATAGAGAAAGTAAGCATCCAGCATCTGCATCTCTGACGGTGGAATACATGGCTGTGGTGGTGTGATGGGTGTGTGGTGTGGCCATCCTGACTGGGTGTCCTGCTCGGACTCTGGGGTTCGTGAAAAGTATGATGCGCAGCCTGGATCCAGCCAGACAATCACTTTTATGACCGCCTGTATAGAGGAAACGCCCAGATATGAGGAGGGTTGTCGAACAGTCAGCGACAAACCATTGACGTCGTCAGAAACGCCTTCCACCAAGTCTGTCGAGCTGGTGTTGCGACTATCCGGCAGTTCCTCTGGCATACTCTGCAATGACTCAAGGTTATCATCTTCATTTGATAAAGGCGACATATGAGCATCCAATGAGACTGAAGTTGCTGGCGATTCGACATGCTGGGCGAGAGCTTGAATCTGGGAACCTGCCGAAGCGGTCGTGAGCTCGAGCAGTTTCTCCCGCGATAGATTGACCAATGACTCCGGTGGCAGATCTGGGAATAGTCTTCCCAGAATACTTCTGTACTCTTCTAATGTGGTGGATAGCTTCTCTACGTGCCTGTAGAAGGTTCTGTTTAGCTGGGCTAAGAAGGCAAACAATTGTTGACTCACCTTCGGGACGGCCGCGGGTCTGAGTAATGACATTGATCTGATTTTTTATACCATCGACATGCCTCACATGGCTTCTCACCATCGCACTTGATCTTGCGGTGCCGACATGAGGTACAAGCACGGAGAGTGGTAACGCGACGACTGATGGATTCGCGTCTCTCACTGGTGGCCCGATTGCGGACCGCAGTTGGTGCAGTTGGGTTCTCAAACCCTTCAAACGTGTGGAACATTCTCAGACACGGTATACTGATTCAAGTAGATCAAATCAACATAGAGCTGACCACACCTGGACGGGCCGCATGAAGATGGAGTATAAGATAAGTGAAGTGGGGTTCGGTCGAAAAAAGAAACGACCCTAGAGAAATTAAGCCAATTTGTTGCTTTAGACCAAACCGAGTAAAAGGAGGAAACATAGCCTGATCCGCTTAATGTTCCCCCCGCATTTACTGGTTCCGGATCGCCCGAGTACCCCGAGTTGGGCTGATTGGGTGGAAATGCTAATTATTTTTAAGGCACAGCTAGTGGTCTCCAGGGCGCTCCTCCATATGCAACCGCGTTTTCCGTCACTCGGATAAATGGACGCTATTCGGGGGTTACTGTGCCATTGTAACTACCGACATAGAAAACCCCAGAGCTTGGGATGTATCACGAGTCCCGAAACCTGCAGCCTACTGGGCTAGCAGGGCATTGCCACGCGCCAGTATGATCAGGGGTGTATAAATGCCGGGGGTAATCTCGCTTCGGATGCGCTCACGCCACAAGGTAGCATGACTGGCATGACTGGATAATGAATGAGTTCTTCAGGAGGCGATTTCCCCGGACTTGGGAGGAACCAAACCCTGCAGGTGGGAGACGATCATCTGGGGAACGATGGCCCAAAATCACAATCTACAATCGATCCTTGCGGGGGAGAATTCGTGGCGGGCATTTCTAGAATCCTCGCCCAGGTCTTTCAGTATCAACCAGTCATCCATCCGGGTAAATAGCTTGCACGTGTCTCTGGGTCATACGTTCCAAGCGATGAGGGAAATTTGAAAAGGGGCTTCGCTTACCCCGTATGAGGGGTAGTAGTGTGCGAGTGAGTACCTGGTTCGAAATCTTGCCACTGGGAGGATTGGAGTGCCGAGACCCTTTTCACGGGCGCCATGACTCGTTCTGGTCAAGGTCCCGAGTGGAGATGTCCCGAGTGGAGAGAATGGCGGTTAGAAGCTCCTTGGCTTCACCTGTTTGGTCGAGAGGAGAAACGAAGGACTGAACAAATGAACTTGATCAAAACTGACGATCAAGCACAATGAAGACCCCCTGCATTCGACAACCCATGTGTGTAGACTCCGTGTGATCTAAAGTGGATGTCGGGACGAAAGGACTGTTGTTTGTCGGGCTCGGGTCATTGGCTCGCCTGCGGTCAGACAGGTCCAATATGTACTCCGTAATTGAATAAATTAATCCGGCCATGCGAATGGCCCAAAAAAGCAACTTGCAGTGAAGTGCACATAATGTTCAGCTGCCTATGATGAGTGAAGTTCAGCTTTTCCGGATGGTGTCGAAAAGGAACTCAGGGCCACAATGCATGACATTAAGAGCTCGGCGGGATAGTTCCCGTGACTAGATTGGTTCATGAGCGATGATCTTTCGAACATTTGGATGGTAGTGATGTCGGATGGAAGGAAGAGCTCATCTCACAGGCATGTTGACTGCGGTCTTTTTCGTTTTGTTTAGTGTATTTTTAGCGTATTTGAAGAACTGAAACTGCAAATATACACATCACGTGCTGATCTAGCCTCATTAGGAGCGGCAGCCCCGCCTTTCCCCAAAGAGAAAGCGCGTGGGGTCTTATCGATAACGGCTGATATAAATCCGGGGAGCTTCTAATGTTTCGATCATACCATTGTTCAATTGCTTCACAATGTCTATGAATGTGCAGTCCTTATCATCAGGCTGGTCCTTTAAGGACCGCGAGTCCAGCGAATGGCTGCCCGTTACCGCGGTTCCATCAGTGGTACAGCAGGATCTCATCGCTAACAACAAGTGAGCTGCTCTTCTCATATTGATCGCTCAAACACTGAGTGATTTTGCTTTAGGCTTGACGATCCATATATTGGTTTCAAAGAGCTAGATGCTCGCTGGGTGAATGAAAAGTCGTGGATATATCGTACTGTCTTCGAAAAACCAGAGACCCCGGCCGGTTCTGTGATTGTCTTGGTGTTTGATGGTTTGGATACATTCGCCAAGGTAAAGCTAGACGGCCAAGTCATCCTCGAGAGTGACAACATGTTCCTGGGGCACCGAGTCGACGTTACCCAGGTGCTAGCGGCCGATGGAGAACACACTCTTGAAGTTGAGTTTGACTGTGCCCTGCTCAAAGCACGCGAGCTTCAATCCAAAGATCCCGGTCACAAATGGGTCGGTTTCAATGGCGACCCGGCCCGGATGGCTGTGCGGAAAGCCCAGTACCACTGGGGCTGGGACTGGGGACCAGTACTCATGACTGCCGGCATTTGGCGGGCTGTGAGACTCGAAGTGTACAGCGCTCGGATTTCAAACCTGTGGCCTCAGACTCGGTTGGCCACAGATTATCAGACAGCTGAAGTCACTGCCCTTGCTGAGGTGGAAAGCTTCGTGGACGGCGACCACACAGTTCAATTCACTTTGAGCTTGAAGGGCAACGAGATTGCTTCTCAGGATATCCTAGTATCTGGGAAGACTACGCAAGTTACATTTAGAGTCAATCATCCCGAGCTGTGGTGGCCCCATGGATACGGTGAGCAAAATCTTTATGAGGTATCGGCATCCCTACTTTCCAATGGCGTGAAAGCAGACCACGACTCTAAGAAGTTTGGCATCCGAACTGCGGAGGTAGTCCAACAGCCAGATAAACATGGAAAGTCGTTTTTCTTTCGCATCAATGGAAGAGATATTTTCTGTGGCGGCTCATGCTGGATTCCAGCTGACAGTCTTCTCCCTGCTGTCAGCGCAGAACGGTACCGTAAGTGGATTCAACTCATGGTTGCTGGCAGACAAGTGATGATCCGGTATGTGACTGTGCTTCTTTTGGCCCAAAAGAATATGTTTTTTGTTTTCTAACTTACGCAAGTGTATGGGGCGGTGGCATTTATGAAGATGATGCATTTTATGAAGCTTGTGACGAGCTTGGAGTGCTGGTTTGGCAAGATTTCATGTTCGGATGCGGCAACTATCCCACTTGGCCTGAGATGCTTGAGTCTGTGCGCCAAGAGACAACTTACAACCTGAGGCGCATGCGCCATCATCCGTCCATTGTGCTTTATGCTGGCAACAATGAAGACTATCAGGTCGCGGAATCAGAAGGCTTAACGTATAACTACGAAGACAAAGACCCAGCGAGCTGGCTCAAGACAGATTTCCCAGCACGGTACATCTATGAGAAGCTGCTTCCAGAAGTGGTGGCTGAACACTCACCTGATACATTCTACCACCCTGGAAGTCCATGGGGAGATGGCAAGATCTCGTCTGATAAAACTGTTGGGGACATGCATCAATGGAATGGTCAGTATTCTGGATTTCCAGCCATCCCCATCACTAACAATCGATACAGTGTGGCATGGAACCCAGGAGAAGTATCAAATCTTTGACACTCTGGGTGGAAGATTTAACAGCGAGTTTGGAATGGAGGCATTCCCTCATATATCCACCATTGACTATTTCGTCGAAAGGTCGGAGGACAAGTTTCCTCAATCACACGTTATCGATTTTCATAACAAGGCCGACGGTCATGAACGAAGGCTAGCGACATATCTAGTGGAAAACCTGCGAACTGCTACAGACCTTGAGGTAAGCACGTCCCTCTGACCCTCGACGCTGAAGCTCAAATTTTCCAGACATACATCTATCTTACTCAGGTGGTTCAAGCCGAGACCATGATGTTTGGCTACCGAGGCTGGCGTCGACAATGGGGCGATGAGCGACACTGCGGTGGTGCACTACTCTGGCAGCTGAATGACTGCTGGCCCACAATCTCCTGGGCAATTGTGGATTACTTCCTCAAGCCCAAGCCAGCATATTATGCCGTGAAGCGGGTTCTGAACCCCATTGCGGTGGCAGTGCGGCGCGAACACCATGACTGGAGTGTGGCCCATGCACAGCCACCTAAGACGAGCCAATATGAGGTTTGGATCGCGAGCAATCAATTTGAGGCCGTTCAAGGCAAGGTCGAACTGAGGTTCATATCCGTCAACACAGGCGACGAAATCCGGGCACCGATTGTACGCGACAACATCACCATTGCCCCGAATGGCACCACAGATATCATTGATGGGGTAATTGATCATATTGCTGAGCCAGAGCCCCATGTCTTGGCCGCACGACTGTGGGTTGACAACCAGATTGTGGCCAGGGATGTTGACTGGCCGCAACCCTTCAAATATCTCAACCTCTCAGATAGGCAGCTCCATATTCAAAGAAGGTCTGAGCAGAAAGATGACGTCTTGGTGATCAGCGCGCGCAAGCCAGTCAAATGCATCGTCTTTGAAGAACAAGACGGAGTGCAACTTGAGGACAATGCCATTGATATTGTGCCGGGTGATGAACAAACGATTCAATTAAATGGCCGGAGAGCTGAGTCTTTGAGATATCGGTATCTGGGGCAAGAGTTGTGTGAGACTGTTGAATAGAAGGTAGCAGATATCAGATAGGAGCGAAGGCATTCTCCCTCATGATTTCCTGGGCAAGGGTGTATAAGTTCTCTTGCATCAATATTTGAGCCCATTGAGGAGATAATGAATGTGGACCAAGCAGCGAAAGTATAGAAAGACATTTTTGGTTAATCTGTGGTCTGGCCGTGCTCTGAAAGTGTCACCAAGTTACTTGAATCATAGGATACCTCTCGTCCTTTTTGAACTTTTGGATGTTTGGGTGTAAATACCATTCGTCCCTAAAGTCAGCACCAACTGGATCAAACTCCATGTAGGTCGTATATATCGAGTTCATCATCAGAGGGTCAAAAGACGAGATTGTAGTGTGGCGTAGTACCCGTGGACGCGAAAGCCATATCTCTCTATCTTATCGCGGAGCTCTCTTCAGCAACTCCAACCATTTTTCTCAATGGGCACCAAACGCTCCTGGGAAGGACAGCCACTTGAGCTTCATCCAAAAATTGACGCAAGCGACATCACTATGGCAGAGGCAGAGGCAGAGCCGCAGGGCGCCTCCATCATCTCGATCTTCGAGAACTTCCGCGACGAGCTCGATGAACACCATGACCGCCGCGAACGCATTATCAAGAAAAGCAGAGACATTACAGCGCTGAGCAAGAAGATGTTAGTTTTCTGAACTGACTGCAAATTTCACAGACTAATATCCATCAGTATCTTCGCTCTCCAAAGAGTCCGCGCCACCAATCAACCCCTCCCGCCTAAGATCGCGCAAGAAAATGAAACTCGTTTCGAACAAATCCACGCTCTTTTTGAGGCCATTGTTCCCGAACAACTTGGTATCAAAGGCTGGCGCTACCAGCGCCAAGTAAGCCCCGGAATCCAAGAATACATTGAAGCAGTCTCCTTCGACCACTATCTACGTACACAAACACTCATCTCACATGCGGAGTGCCAGTCTCGCCTGCCAGCCGATATCCTCCTATCAGAAGAAGACTATTTGATGGGACTATTTGATCTCACAGGCGAGATGATGCGATTCGCGGTGTTGTCATTGAGTTCCGGGAACGCGGCTGCAACACAGCCCGAGGGCGGAGAGAGCAACCACCGGCCGACGCTGGCTTCATCGCAAGGTGATATTGTGGTGGATCTACGGGCAATGCGGGCTGGGTTCGAGGCGCTCAGTGTGCCACGGCGGCACTTCATGTTGCGGGATCTACAGAAGAAGACGGAAGTTATGCAGAATAGTGTGGAAAAGGTTGAGAGGGCGGCATATGGAATCTTAGTACGGGGAAGTGAGAGGCCAAGTGGGTGGACTCCCGATCTTTCGGGGCCGGTTGAGGTCGAATCGCATTAGCTTGATGGTATTTGGCTATTGGATTGCAGGCCCGTTCGGATTTTACACAGCTTACAGCCCATATCTTCCAATTCCCACGATTTCAGGCGAAACAAGCACCAAATGTTCATTTAATGTGCATTGCAGTACATGATAACGGTGACATCACCACACCACGGTAAGGACAGGAAAATGTGCAACGCGCAAGCAGAAACAAAACGTAACGATCGTACTTCATATCCCCATAAACCCATGCCTAGTACCTCATAGGAGCCATGTGTACTCCGGACTGGCCGGGCGTACTAGTTGTACTATGTAAGATTCCATCAAACCGGGGAGCGTGGGTTCTCGTCTTCGGAAAGGATTCCCTGCGAAATCAGCTCTTCGGGTTGTGGGCGGTTTTGGATCTTATGCTCGAGGCTGTCTGCAAGGAAGTGTTTCTCGAGTTCGCGGGCGTGGGCCTGCAGAGCTGGGGCGGCGGAGGTTGCGGGGAGGATGTTGCCTTGGCGACGTTAGTTCCATGACATGAATCCGAGGGGATTTTGAAGGTGCTGAGAATCAAACACCGGGAGATATAGATAAAAGGGACAGGAATAGAAGAAGAACAGAGAAATCTGACACGCAGTTCAAGTCAGCACATACGTTCAACCAATTCATCCTTCTCAGGTCGCTTCTCCAGGTGCTTCTTCAGGTTGTCTGAAGCCCGCTGACGGTCGAGTTCCTGGCGGGCAGACTGAAGGGCTCTGAGGCATGTTAATTGGGAATTATACAGTTCCCCCAAGGGTGCAGTGCTCACGGGGCCACATTGGTGTCCAACAGAATGTGACGGTTCTTGAGGTCCTGGACGTCCGGGCGAGTCTGAAGGTGCTTCTCGAGGGAGTTGCGACGTTCGTGTGTTGGAGGGAGGTTATGCTCGATTGAAGACATTGTGAAGATTATCAGTGTTAATGATAAGTATGAGGTGCAAAATACTGTCGAGTGGGAGATTTTAAAGAAGAAGAACAGTCCCAAAGTCAAGTGATGCGGATCACGCGGGGGAAGTACATCATACTATTTTCAGTTGACCAATACAACTACACACTTTTCATAGAGAATAATCATTGGGATACAGATACTAGTAGATCCAATAAATCGCCTCAAAAAACCTCCCAACGTCGGGACTTCCAGGATCCAAGCAGCGTAAAGCCGCGAATTGATTCCTTGGGATGCATGTCCGGGAGAGGATCATGGGTTCTGGGGTTATGACTGATCATAAAGCCGGGGGAAAAAAATCACTCTGTGAGGCGCACAGATCCAAATGGATTGTCAGGCGAGTCGTGCAAATACCCTGTCCGGTTCTGTTGGTTTGAAACACACTGATCTGCTACTCGTCCGAAGACGAATGCAGATCGTCTGCCCATTGAAATCAAGGAACCCAGAGCTTGCCTCGACCGCGTCCACTGCCTCGCGCACCGCGAGCAGCACCCCGACGACCGTTTGATGAGCGACGTGACGCGCCTGGGGAACCGCGGGCAGCAGTGGACGGTGTATTCAGATCCGCGGGAGGCGGCTTGGGTGCGCCACCCAGTGACCGGCTGAAAGAGTCGGGGTCGATAGGTTGAGTTGGGACGTCAACAGATGCCGTAGGCTCGACCGGAGCGGGAGGAGGCTTGGGGGCAGTCTTGCGTGAGCCGCCACGGGAGGCACCGCGAGAGGAACCACGAGGAGGAGCCTTACCACGACCCCGCGGTACAAAGACCAACTCGTCCTCGTCGCTTTCTTCCTCGTAGGATAGAAGAGTCTTCGGCTCAGGCTGAGGTTGTGTCTGGGTCTTCTCAACGTACTTGCAGCGGTTTTTGTATTCGCGCTCCTCGTACTGAATAGCAGTGCGCAACTGGAGAATGTTCTTGACTCCAATCCCGAACTTCTGGGCCCAAACCTGAGTCGCGCGGTCATTGGTGATCAAAATACAAGTCTTGGTCGAGTTCTCAGCATCGGGACCCTTGTGCAGACGCCATAGTAGGGCACTCAGCAAAGGGCGCAGGGAGGAAGGTGCAGTCGGGATGACCGACCCAGAGGTGGTGCGCTGATGGTTGGACTTGGATTTGGATTTATCATTCTTGGTTCCATTGCTGTTGTGTTGGGCGCACTCTGGGCTAGTGCGAGAGCTGCGAGAGGACGTGCGCGACCCAGGTCCACTGGGCGTACCAATAGAAGTGATCGACGCAGCCTCTGGATCTTTCTTGAAGTTGAGCTTGGAGAGAAGCATTTGCGACAGGTCGTCCGATTCGTTCTTGGGGTCGCTCCCGGTGTCCGCGAGTTCGGTAGGATCGGTCGCATGATCGCCATTGACAAGGTCGTCGATCGCTTCCGGCTCCTCCTCGAATTCCGGCAAGAAGAATTTCTCGGCTTCTTCCCAGCGATCGTATTGTTCCATCGGGCCCTGGAGAATTACCCGGTCGGCAGCAATGTGGTCCTTGCCGGAGGTGACACGATCGAGGAAGCGCACGGCCTCACGGGCGTTGATGGCGACCTGGGAGCCGGCCCGCTTGAGCGCATGGAGTCGTTCGAGAGCTGGAGAAGGAGTCATGGTTAGAGATACCAGTCAGCGCTGGGCCGAGGCCTGAACGCTCCGACTCACTGTAGAGGGGGACCACCAGGTCAATAGCACCGTTGGTGGTCCATTTCTTGATTTCAGAGATGTTGGTGGACAGAGCAGTCTCATCCACAGCACAGTGGAAAACTTTGCGTCCTGTTGACATGTTTGAGCAGGGTAGAGACCCTAGATCGGAAGAGAGTAGACCACTGCAGACCGGTCAGCTGAAGTTGAAGGAGGTTTGACGAAAGAATGTGGGGGCGGGTAAAAGGTGTTCACTCACGATGAGAAGCCAGTTGACAAGTTTTCATCTGGAGCATCTTTGTACACCTATGCAATCTTCTAGACTCTTTGGATCTGCTGGCATGCTGAAGAATCCAGAAAATGATGCGATGGCAGAGATCTGAGACTATGCTGACTAAGCGGTCCAGGAACAGCCCTCAATCCATGGATATCGAGGGTATATAAAGAGTAGAGTGAGAGAGAAACAAAGAGAAAGGTTCTATATTCAATACAATCTAAGAGCGGAGATCCCTGCATCCCAATGTCCAGTCCTATGACTTCACTTTCTTGATAAGTCCGTCCGACTCTTTCACTCGTTGCGCCCATTCACTGTTCAAAAGTCAGTATTAGTTGCATGGTGTCCAGGGGTATAGATTTCATGCACTCACGTCCAGCTGCCATCATACACCCGACGCAGGTTAGGGTCACCGTGTTCGGCCACAGCCAGAGCTGTCTCGATAATTGAAGCAGTCACACCTGTGCCGCAAGAGCTGATGATGGTTTGGTTGGGGTCGACCTGGCGTTCCTCAAAGACCTTACGCAAGTCTTCCGCTGAGAGATATGCCTTGGTCTCCGGGTCCAGCAACTCTTGGAAGGGAAGGCTCTTTGAGCCGGGGAGATGACCAGAGGACAGACCTGGGCGCGGCTCCGGGTCGGTTCCAGCCCAGCGCCCGTAGGACCGCGCATCCAGGATTTCGATTTCCTCGGCTCCCTCTTTTCCATAGTCCAGAGCCAGCTCTTTCATCTCCCGGAAAGAGATCACCAGTCGCGAGTCATAAACGGGGACAGAGTATTTAGTCTTCTCCACTGGCGCCGGTTCCCCGCTTTCAGTTGGGAGGCCCTCCTGCACCCACAGACGATAGTTATTCAAGACGTGTACATTAGGATGACCAAAGACACGCAGTGTCCAGCCCACACGCGGTGCGCTGAAGATCCCCAGCTCCGCAGTATCGTAAACCACGATCTCATCGTCGCGACGAATCCCAAGCTCGCTCATTGCCTCGGCGAATGTCTCGCACGTGGGGAGCATGTGGGGGTAAGGCGAGTCCGGATCTTTGATGGCATCCAGGTCAAAGAATCGAGCCTGGGGGATGCGCGAGTGACGGAAGGACTCAATCCCCTTGCGACCCTCGGGGTCGTTTGGCATGAACCATGCTGCGTTGAGAGGAATCACACGCGGTGAGGTCGAGATCTTGGTTCCACCTGGGGGGTTCTTTCTCAGAGCTTCATTGAGCTGCTTGGGAGTCACCAGATACGAAGAGAAAGAGACATTGCGCGACTGCGTGTGGAGCGGTGAGGAGGACATGGTGCGGAACCGAGGGAACGACGATCGAATGGCTGTGAAGACCATGGTTGTAGAGGGGGAATAGAGAGCACCAATTTACATAACTTAGCGACTAGCTATAAGCAGTAAGCAGAGAACGCAAGAACTCCAGAACACAATACGGGCAATAAGAGCAATAAGAGGAGTAGTATGGCGTAACGGGTGCGGGTCTCGTGATAGCGATAAACAGACCGCTTATCGCGGGGATTCTTTCTTCGCTCCGACAACACCATGAAGGTCGCCATTAAGGAATGGAATGCCATCGCTACTTGGCACTGGGACATCCCTGAGGATGAGGTCTGCGGTATCTGCCGTGTTCAGTTTGACGGCACTTGTCCGACTTGCAAATTCCCCGGCGATGACTGCGCTCTCGGTGAGTCCACTACTCTTATGTCTAACGTCATTCTCAGATGCTGACTGTGTTTTATAGTGCAAGGGAAATGCAACCACGCGTTTCATATGGTAAGAGCTGCCCGAATACAATTACATGGGCCTCACTGATTGAAATCAAGCATTGTCTAATGACCTGGATTGACCTCGAGACATCCAAGGGCCTTTGCCCCATGTGTCGGCAAAGTGCGTTCATCTTCTCGTCGCTTGGTTTCGAGCTATGCGTATTTTACTAACCATGTCTAGAATTCGAATGGAAACAAAAGGAGTGACCTGACCCGAAACTTGCTTTCCCTTTCCCTTTCCCTTCTCATGGTTACCAAGGCGTTGTGGGATTATCCAAGATACCCTTTTGCATATGATTTTGTTCTGCGAACTTTTGTTGGGAGCCAGATTTGCGTCTTGTAACTGCCCACTGGGCAACATCAGTGCTTTTTCATGAACCTGAATGGGTCAGCATCTACAAATGACACGAAAGTCGACCCATTGTCCTTAGATGGTACCTCAATTGATGCTAGTTTCGTCCAATAACTATCTACTCCAATGTTCCTTCTTTCCCAGGTTCTCTTTCTAAATTTTAAACTGAAAGGATTTGCATACATTGTTCGGGCCTGCCCAGGTGGATGGGGCCTGGCATCTTGAAACTTGAGCTGGACCCCAGATGTATATATCTCGAGGTTTGTTTGGGGCCTGATCAGATTTGGGAGAGCACAACCCGCCACATCGGTAACATGTGGTATTTGTTGTTTTCGAAGATTGGCACCAGTCGAACATCAAGATACTACCAGATTCTTATACTTCCTAGCTTGCACTTGAGCATGCTGTAAAAGGACAGTATTACTTTCCACCCTGTAAGTTGACATGGCATCACGTGGTGTTATCGATAAGGAGCTTCTCCGCACGTCGATTAACCTCATCCTGTCACTTTGCTCGAAGGATGTAGCCTCATGGAGATGTCTGTGAACAACTCTCCCTATCCTCTGTCCTCTTCATCATCTAGGCAGTCCCTTCAGAAAGACGCCTCAAGGCCAGATACTGCCTTATCACGGCCAGGTGACAGATACCCCAGACGGCAACTGCCAGAACCGCGATCTGCAGACGAAACTAATCAACTGCCAGTGTCAGTCGCATCCCCGTGTCAGGACGCAACTCAGGACGCAACCGCGGTTGGGACAGAAGATAATCCTGAAGAGGGCCATGACCGACCACCATCCCACCCCGCTTTTCAGCCTTTCTTCACACTAATCGAAGACGCCCATACCTCCGATTACCACCACCCAACGGTCCACTATATATTCTCGGACGATGACAGTGATATCGTGACCGAGGCTGCTTTGCGGAGCTTATCGGCACAACAAGAAGCCCTCTCTGACTCTAAGAAGGACCAAATTGCGCACAATACCGCATCTCCCCTCGATGAGGCCAAAGATCCTGCGGACTCCGCCCCGGCTAAGACAACCCTGCTGCCACCACCGGTGCCAGGAGTACGGGAGAACTTCATTATTCTAGACGTAGAGCCATCTCCCGCCACAGAGACCCAAGTGCCAACTCTGGAACAACTCGTACCAGGGAAAAGCGACACCAAGTCCTTATCTTCATCCCCAGCCAACCAATACACACTGTCGCAAGAGGGTCAACATCAGTACCGTGTAACCGGAGCGCAGAGTTTCTCCTCGGCATGGCAAGTGCTCAACACAGAAGTCGTACCAGCACCAACTTTTGAGAATAGCAATCCGGGTGAATCACCAGGGCACGGCTTGATGTTGAAGATCCGTGGTACTGCCGGTCTACCTGATCAGAGGCCCAAGGATGGAGAGGGTAGGGGAGGTCAAAGGCTCGAGGACATGATGGACCAATTCGCGAAGCGGATGAGTGAACTGCAGGTGGTGATTGATGCGGCGGAGGCCTCGAGCTCCAATGCGCACTTGCATGGTGACTTGGAGCACCCGTTATCCCCGGATGCAGCCGAAGAAGGCATGCAAGATGCCACCACTGGTGTGAGGCAGATCTGAGCACCTTTGTTAGCACAAAAAATAGGCGTTGGTTAGTCTGGACGAAGTCCCTGCCATGAAACTACTTGAAAGACAAACCAAGCTCAAGTGTGGTATGAATTCCACATGAATTATTCGCCTATAGAAATAACCACCGACCGACAACGCCTAGTTGCGGCCTTTTAACCACATCAAATTAGACAAAAGAAATACAAGGAATGTTCCACCACTTCTCTCCCTCAGCCAAAAACTCCAAGCCAGAGTAAAAAGCCCAGCGATATCGGGTATCAAAAGAACCAAACAGGGAAAATAAAAGATGAAAAAAGGGACAACAAAAACATCATATCATGTCTGATCGGATCGGGTTCTGAATCTTCGGCCACCAACCGTGGAAGAGTGCGAATTCTCACGACCGTCCATCACACCGGTCATCTTCTTGGAAAGCATAGTTTTAGGAAGCTTGCTATCGGTGGGAGCGGCCGAGTTAGAGCGGCGACGCTTACGGGAAGACTGTTCCGGTTCGAGCTTTGGAGGTGTCTCCTCAAGGTCTGCTGCGGGTATCACTAACGGGGATTCGGGTTTGTTGGAACCTTCATCAGCGTCAGGAACGACCGGTCTGGCGACGTTTGGGTCGACTTCTCTAAGACCGGTGTTGGAGAGTGGAGTAGCGGATGGAAGAGGGTGGCCTACCTCTTCCAGGGTATCGTGATAGACAAACTTCTTAGCCGGCGAGAGCACTTGAGGTGAATTGGGCGCAAGCGAGTCCTGCTGATCTTCGTCATTGAACGGAAGAGCAGTGAATTGCTTGGATGTGCGGTGTCGAGAGCGTAAACCGTCGTGGGGTTCAGTTTGGGGTAACTCGGAAGGATATTCGTAGCGGCGTTTCTGGGGCGTAATGCCCGTGGATACGTATTCCTTCATGGGATGGGATTGAATCTGGACACGCATTTCTGAGAGTGGCTTGCGAACCTCGGTATGTAGAGGTGCCACGGTTTGCACCAGGGTTGTGGTGTGTGTTTTAACATCTCCCTGGAGTTGCTCAACGCGCCCCGTGAGCCCATCCAGTTGACCATAGACATTCGAACGAGATTCACGGACATTTTCCGCCATCACATCTAGGCTGCTGAGGTGGGATTTGTGGAAACGACCGTTTTGAGAACGGGCTTTGGCAACAAAGTCATCTAGTGCGGCCATTTGTGTGCCCATGTCACTCATTTGAGCATCCACGATGCGCACAGTCTCTTGATGCACAGACTCGGTTGCGCGATGAATTGAGGCATTTCGCTGGTCAAAGGTCTATTGTTGTTAGTTATGTCTTCATGACCGCCAGATTATTTGCTCTTACCTCCCAATCGTTCTGCATGCGAGCCTTGATTTCTTCCTTGGATGCAGCGATGTCCTTGGCGAACTGCTCCTCCTTGAATATCCACTCATCGACATGTCTATCGTGCTGTGCGGTGGAATGCTCCAGGGAGTCACCTGATGCCGAGATGTCGTTGCGAAGGGTGTCAAATTTTCCCTTAAGACGGTTGTTCTGCCGTTTGGTTGAGTCCTCAAGTAGTCCTCGGATATGAGACATGAGAGTATCACGTTCAGATTGTGCGCTCGCGTGTTCCTCATCCAAGACCTGCGCAATATTAGACGAAGCCTTCCTGTTGGCCTCTACTGTCTGGCGGTTAGCTGCTTGCAGCTCGAGACGTAGTTTGTTGACTTCCGACTTCTGCTCGTCCAAATGCTTTGCCATGCTTTCAAACATGGATTTGAAGTCTTTTCCCAGTGTACTATACGAGGTATGAAGCTGGGAGTGGAACTCAGAAAATTCCCCAATGACTTCCTTTGAGATTCGAGCCGCAGCGGCGGACAACCCATTGAGACCTTCGCCGACCTTGGATTTGACTTCTTCGCGGAGATCCTTGATTTCTTCTAGAACCTCGTTCATGTCGTTGTGGGCACTAGACGTGTTGTTTTTTGCTTCTGCCTCGACTTTGTCGAAGGATGCACCTAGGTCCCGGAGTGTTGAGCGAGTAGACTTGACAGTGTTCAGCTCGTGGTCGACAAATTCATGAATCTTCTCTGACATATCCTCCAAGAGTCTGGCATGCTGGTTTTGGAAAACCTCCATGCGAGCATCGATTTGCTGTGTCACATCCGAGACCTCGCCAGTTGAGGTCTGCCAAGTTTGACGGTTCTGTGTCTCCAAACTATCTTTGCGGTCCAATTTGGCGTGAAGCCCATTCACATCTTGAACCGTACTGTTCAGAGTTGAAACAAGCCCGGCACCAATGTCACGGAGCTGCTTTTCCGTACTTTGGTGGGCCTTGCGTACAGCCTTCTCTTCGTCGAGCTTCTCCTGAGTTTCTTTCCAGAATTTCTCGGTTTCGTTGAGAACTTCTTTCGTGTCATTGAGCTTCGTCTGCGTCTCTTCATTATCATGCTTTAGTGAATTGAAGTTGCCAGTAATAGAAAGTAGCTCCGAGACTTTGTGTTTCAGACTGGACTCCATAGACTCAATCCTAGCGCGTTGCTCCTCGTTCACAATGCGTCGTGATTCGCTTTCCATGGTCATCTCTTCATAAGCATCGGGCGTCATGTAGACACCGTTGCGATGTCTTGTAGCGATCAGCTCACTTTTGAGCTTCTCGATTTCCATCCCGATATCCCGAAGAAGCTTGTTTTTGGAGATGATAGAGTTGATCTGTGGTTTGTTGCGGATGTTCTTTGCGCGGAAAGCATAATCAAGGGTAGAGATGGTTTCTTCAAGGTTGTTTCGCGCGGGGGAGACAGTGGCAATGATACATGTTTTCGTTCGGCCTCCAAGAGAGTCTTGAAGTAGTCGTGTGAGTTTTGATTCCCTGTAGGGGATGTGCGAGCTTTTATCCACTAGGGCATTGATGACCCTGCCGAGGGTAAGAAGACTCTTGTTGATGAGACCGGCTTCTGCTGCACGCTTGTTCTCTGCGCCACTTCGCCCAATGTTCTCACTGCCCGCCAGATCAACCAGGTTCAATTTTCCTGAGCTGATGTAGTCCTCGCCAGTCTCGGTTGTTCGTTTTGTGAGAACGGTAATCGTGAAGACGGTGTGACTCCGGGAACTTAAGTCGTTGCATTTTGTCGCAGCCACTTGACGCTTATGACTGCCTGTTTGCAGTAGCCTGATGCCCGTCGAGGCAGAGTCGATGTACGTCTCTTCCATGCCTTGAACCATTGTGCTGTGTCCTCCTTTCTTCTCATTCTCGTAGATCTTCAATTTCGTACTGTCGTCGTAAGATAAGAGATCCCGGAGTTCCTCGTTGTAAAGTTCGATGAATGAGCACTTCACTGTGCTTTCCGTGCCTTCCAGTTTCTGGAAAAGAGAGTAGAGTGTTCGCGGAATGATTCCCGCGTCATCAGATAAAATACCCAGAGTATCGTTCATGTCTCCTGACATGGTGTATGTCTTTCCCGTGCCGGTCTGTCCATAGGCGAAAATCGTACAATTGTAACCTGCTAACATCTAAAACCAATTAGCAGTCACCCAGGTGCACGTCTCATTCTCGAACTCACCTCATCCACAGTTGGCGTGACCACATCATCAAACACAGTTGTTTGATCGGCTGCTGGAGAGAAGACTTTGTCGAAAGCGTATGTTTTATTCGAGACCGCATTCGGACCCATCGACAGGTCAAGGGTCTTGCCCTTTACGCCTTCTGGGGTCGACAAAACGACACCATTGTTTTCCTTGATTTCGCGATCACTGCGCCCGCGACAACGGACCACCACGTGAATGCTTGTATCTTCATTGACACCTCGTTCGTAATCCTTCTCTTTGCGTTTAGTCGCAGCGTTCTGCTTCTCCGGGCTTCTCGGTGGTGCGCGTGCAGTGCTTATTGTAGATGATCGTACTGAGGGTGTAGATGATCGCACTGAGGGTGTAGATAGCGCAGGAGAGGCATGGCGCTCTGGAACCGCTGGAACCGCTGGGCCCGCACGTCGAAGTGGTTGTCGCAAACCTGACCTCCTCGTGGTAGGGAGGGTAGAGGGAGGCCTTGCTGGGCCGGGCATGATGAAGTTTGAGCAATTTCAGATTGGTAGTATTGTGTCGGAGAGAAGTGCGATCTCTTCTTTTTTCTTTTTTTTTCACTCCGGTGTTTATCACTGGGGTCGGGGGTATTTGTCTCAAAGGGGAAAATTGTACACAAACCGCACGTGTTTGCATCATTTGCAGGACGCTAAGTGACCCGTGCACGTGACCTCGTGTCATTCACCCCTCTCACATGACAGTCGGCCTCGCTATCGGCTTATCGCTGAACTTCATCTCCTTACTCCGCAACTGTTTCTCCAGGCCTATTCAAAACCCTAAAGCTTCAAGCATACTCAGTTGCATGGAATAGAATCCTCTCGGCTAACGCGCTATCAAAAGCGACATGACCAGCTCTACAACCACAACGCAGGCACAGATCTTCCCCGGAAAAGGGCTGGGGTTTATCAGTACGCTCTGTGGCTGTTCTTGATGCAACTCAAGCTAACACCCCGATAGCTTTAGGTGCGTCGCTGCACAACGTCCTCACTCGGGTGAAATCCTACCCACAGACATACCCTGCTATCGACCTTGCATACTCTCCTGCAGATCCTCTCCGGAACCCCGTGATACTCCAGCTCCCCTCAAATGGTTTGCGCCTTCGGTTCGATGGCCCTGACCAGAGACTTCGGTTGATCGAAGTGCTGGAGTTTTCCCGCGTGAACCTGGTTTACAAAAACCAGGATGTCCTCAAGGGGGGGAAATCAGCAGAGCAACCCCTGTCTACGCAGGGTCCGAGCTTCCGGCACGTCTATAATCGCCTGTTTGGTCCCTCATACCCAGGAGAATATGTACCGCCGGCAGACAAGTCCCCATATGGCACATACGTGCTATCATATCCTGGGGTCGCATTCTCCTTTCCCCTCCAGCATTCCGCCTGGTCCGACCAGTGTGATTTCGTAGCACTATTATCCTCCTCGGCTGCCCTGCCGGCCACGGCAATGTCCATCTTCCAAGGTGCATCGTGGCCGGAGGTCCGAGACAAGCTGTTTACACAGCAACCCCAGTATCCACGCTCATCGGCGTTGATTGGCAAGTCTCGGGAATCCCTCGCTGATGAGATCGAGGAGTGGCAAGTCCTCGGGGCAGGAAGGCTCGAGGTGATCCGCAGGACTGGGTCTGCTGTGCCTATCACACTGGGTGCAACCAGCTTCCAGGATCTTATCGCGGACTTCGGGCCACCCGATGCCATATATCGTAAGAATGACCGCCGAATATCGATCCATCGCGCGACGGGCGGGAATGACATACACCTGAGTCCATCTCCGGGCAGTATACAAGATGGCGATCACTCATCCAATAACAGTGTAACTGATGATTCCGACGAGGAACTGGCTGCATTTAACATCGGCGATCCCACCTCACTACCCGCAGAATGTTTCTTAAATTATTTCCACCATGGCTTTGATGCCTTCATCTCCCACCCAACCACACCGGGACCCGCATTCCCAAATTCGGGTGTTCACGACCCCGCCGTGGCACCCCCATCCTCCCAGTTGACCGTAACAAAGATCATCTTGCACGGAAACGTGCCAGGCTCCTATCCTTTCAATCGCCATCGCCGAACCCGATGGATGATTCCCCTGGACGACCACAACTGCCTTACGTCCGAGTCACCCTACAACGAAATTTCCGAGCAGCTCCGGACAGCCTGGAGAGGTTATTATGCCAGCCCCACTGAGGAGCGTGCCCTACAGCGGCCAATGGTGCTGAACCGTGGCTGGGGCGACAGCCCTGAAAGCAGTGTGGAGTTCCTTGGCGGGTGGGAGGAAACCACTTCCAAGGGCCACCGGGCGGGTGGCGAGGGCCAGGATGGAGGATTAGGCAACACTGAGATGTTTGGGTTCCCGGGTTTATTATTTGAGATTTTGAAGAATGGCGCCGTGAGTTGTTTAACTGTGTACTGATTGGATCTTGCATTTTGATCTTGCTATGACCCACACTTAGATGCATCATGAATTATGAAATCTTGGAATCTTGGAATGCGATACCAATCACAATTGAGTAAAATTGAGCAGTGGAAAAGACCGGGAGTGATTTTGTTTACCTAAAGAAGAAGTGTTTATCCCCGAGCCCAGACGAAAGGCCCTGCAAAGTGGCAGCCCAGTTTACACTCAACCTACTGCCGTGCAAGAGGACTTTGATACTAATATACCGTAATTAACCAGCTTGGGACTTCCAGATTTAGAGCTGGCCGCTGACAGGTGGACAGCTGGTCATACATAGTTGGGCTCAATCCATCGTATGGTGGTTTCAGGCCGTGGGAGTTCGTCAGGGGCTGATTATGAGGACCAAAGCGTGTGCAGAGTGGGATAAGGGATTCTCCGAGGATCTTTCTTTTCTGTTCCGATCTTGCTTCCCATAGAAGCCAAAACATTATGACCTGTATCACAGCATCACCGGTGACCCTTCCGAATTTTCGATAGGGTATTGCAGATGGCATCAATTGAGCAGGAGAAGCATTGAGTCTTGAGTATGGAGTACATCAGGCGAGGCGGAAACAGGTTATGTGCACTGGGATTTCATAAAAGCACGCATCCTGAGGAATACATATGCCTCGTTTCCCGGTGAGCCTCCCGAGTCTAGGGTAAAGTCCCACCGGGGTGCGGGGGATGCGGGGGGCACCATGCGGGGCCGGAGGTGTACAAAATGCGAAGAAAAAAAAAAAAAAAAAGCAAAAAAGCAAAAAAGGGCAAAAAAAGGAAAGAAAAAAACAGAACCAAACGTAAGTAAAACCGGCTTCTCGTTCTGCAAAGATACGCTATGGGCTCTGAGCAATAGATCGCCGGCCATTGGATATTGTGGGGGATATAAAACCTTTCCTTCCTAAAGTAAATTGTTCGTCCTCACCTGCACAGTTCTTCAGAATGAGTGTTCACGAGTCCCCCGAAACCCAAAAAAGATCTCTAGATGATGATCACCTAGAGGAGGATCTTGCGATCAAGCCAACACAGACTGCTCAAACTGCCCATCATGATGTCGTCTTTGGGGAAATCAGCGAGGACGGTCCTAACTACCGCAATGTGCATACAGTGTCATATCTACACCCTCTTAACCCAGCTGACCGTGCTTTAGGTTGGCTTTGTTGGAACAGTGATTCTCATGATGAAGAGCCAGATTGGATTGGGAATTCTCTCCATCCCAAGTGCCTTCAACGCACTCGGAATGGTTCCAGGCGTCATTGTGCTTGTTGGTGTTGCCGCGCTCACTACTTGGTCCGAATATGTCATTGGCCACTTTAAGCTCAACCACCGCGAAGTGTATGGAATTGACGACGCAGCAGCCTTGATGTTTGGCCCTATCGGCCGGTGGGTCTTATCGGTTGTATTTTGTCTTTGTAGGTGCCCAAATATCGTTTGACATGTGTATGTTTACTGACAACCGAAGACTACATTTTCGTAAGCGCTTCAGGTATACTGGGCCTCTCAATCGGGTTGAATGCAGTTTCGACACATGGATTATGTACCGTCGTCTTCGCCGTCATTGCAGCGATTCTTGGCTTCGCAACCGCGAGTGTACGGACTCTTGGTCGTATTACCTGGCTGGCATGGGTTGGACTTCCATGTGTGATCATATCGGGTGAGTCTGTGGAGTTGAAATTGTGATATACTATATACTGACCCTCACAGTAATGATTGTCACGATTGCTGTCAGTCTTCAGGACCGCCCTTCCTCCGCACCCAAGGGCGATGGACCCTGGACTTCCGATTTCAAAATTGTCGGCAGCCCAACATTTGTCGAAGGCATTACGGGGGTGTCGAACCTCATTTTTGCATTTTCAGGCACACCTGGATTCTTTGCTATTGTATCGGAGATGCGTAATCCTCGCCAATTCACCCCAGCACTCCTCATCTGCCAAGCCACTGTGACTTCCATCTACCTCATCGTGGCTTGTATTATATACTATTATTGCGGCTCTTATGTCTCGTCGCCCGCCCTCGGTTCCGCTGGTGGCCTTGTGAAACAAATATCCTATGGGATCGCGTTGCCCGGGTTGGTTGTTACAACAACGATAGTCACACATGTGAGTCTTCCAAGAATGATGGCTCCTCGGAGTCACAGAGAGTCTACTAACAGCGGAACTAGATCCCAGCCAAGTATATGTTCGTTCATATCCTTCGTGGGTCTCGGCATTTGACCAGCAACAGCTTTACCCACTGGATCACCTGGCTCAGCTGTACATTGGGCGTCACTGTAATCGCATACATCATTGCCAGCACTATCCCTGCATTTGACGCCTTAGTGTCTCTTATTGGAGCATTACTTGGGACAATTCTTTGTTTACAACCTTACGGTTGCATGTGGCTGTACGACAATTGGTCTGGGGACAGAGGAAAAAGATCATGGTGGCCAATGGTCTTTCTCAGTGTATTTGTGGTGGCCTTTGGATCATTTGTTACCGTCGGGGGTACATATGGAACTGTGATCGGCATCATGGACTCCTACAAAGCGTCCGGTGGTGCTTCTGCCTTTTCCTGCGCAGACAATTCCAACTCGACTTGAGGGCCGAGATCCATAGATGGCAAAAGACTCATAGAGGATTTTATTTCAAGAAAACATATAGAATGAAGTTTTCATCGAGTTAATTTGATTCACACCTGCTTGTGTTCGATTCCAACCCTCTTCGATGTTTCGAGGACATGTGCCACGTTGATGCAAGCCTACTGGAACACACAGGTACCAGGGCTATATCGAGAAAAATTTGATTTTCTTTTGCATGCTCTGTGGACCCCCTAAGCTGGAAAGAGGTCTAGATTTGAGCTCAGGGGAAAGCGTGGGGGTTCCAAGATTGGTGGTTGCACTCGCACGATGAACCTACATTGTAGATAGAAAAAGGAACACCAAGCGAGTAGGAACCATACATCCCAAAGCGGGAATACAAAGCACCTGTAGACCTACGGAAGGCGAAAGTCTGGTTGAAAGTGGGTATCCTCGTTTGCTGCCAGTCAAAAAGGGATGTTTGTAGACACCGGCTCGCCAACAGCCGAGACCCATCTCGAAGCCCACAAAATGGAATTCGAGAGGAGATGAATCTACCGTGGATCCACCCCAGCTCGGGGATTGAAGCAACACAAGACCATCAGAGCTATTTGACCGACACACTCAGACTTTCCCGGGAGTCAACCGGGAAACACAAGTTTATATTGTGATTTTGATTGAACCAAAGGCCCGAAGACCCGCCTTTCTGCAACGTCAATGCGTTGAATTGGGGGTATCGTTCTCAACAAAGATGGAAAACATTATACCCCACATTCCCCTCAGCGGGAGGGTAGCCGATGATGTGCAAAGTCGATGCGGGATGGGGATACCGAAAGCGGAAGCCGAGTACGCCTCCCGCGAGGCCACCTATTCTGCGGGAAGAGCCCTGATTCAAGCAACATATTGACCAAAATTGGGAAAAGTCATTTCTTCTCTCTGAATTCCTCTAGATCTAACCCATATATTTTAGTTGCCTGCACCGAACCGATTTAAGGAATTTTTCAATTTAAAGGAACTTCCATGGTTAGAAGTTAAAGGTGACTAACGATCCGGCGTGCGAAGTCAAAAGCCCTTCTCTTTGCATGGACAAGGCACAAGAAATCGGATTGTTTCACAGGACAAATCAACAGAGCAGCAAAAACAGCAAAATGCAAGCAAGGAGTTGAAGTATTCGTTATTTTGGGCTGTATCTATAACCTCTACCCCCGTATGCCCGTCCCCCGTACCCCGGGAGAGAACTTTTGAACAGGCTAGGATTTGCCAACGTCAAATTCCTTGGCATTTAAGTACAGACGAGAATATTGCTGCGTACGGAAGGGCACAGCGGCAGAGTACTCCGTACTCTGAGTGCAAAGGTAAATCAGATACCAGGTGTGTTTGCAATGACTCACCCATAAGCATCGGATGCTTGGAGATTTCTGATCTCAGTATCACCCGCAAGTATGTACATATAATTCTGTCAAACCGAGAAGATCTTTACCCCGGAAAATGAGGTGATTGGCTAGTTCCCAACTCCATACCCCGTGTTGTGCTGTCATCCGAAGTATAGCCGATGTTTAAATCAGATGGCGATCAAACGCATTTGCCGAGTTACACAGCCATACAATATCAAGAGATTTGCAGATATAGCTTTGGAATTAGTGGTCAACTCCATCTCTGCTGATTGCAAACAAATACCCTGGGGTGCCTGGGGTTAGATTTGTAACGTGATATGTACCCCGCTGGTTAATTATCCGGGGATGCCCTGCCAGACTGCAGGGTAGTTCCATACTCTGCTATTTGTCCCTTTGTCTCCAGTGCTCTTTACCTCTTCCATCAAATCTAGGATATACATCTTCCACATAATTTATACATTTCTTGACTCACGTTTGGCCTAAAACGAAATATGCGTGCCGTTCGCTTCCACGGGGCGCGAGATATTCGCATTGATGAGATCGAGGAACCCTCATGCGGGGTCAATCAAGTCAAGGTAAGATCAAAGACTTTTCTTGGGAGTTTATCTGTCATGAGCTTGGAATCCCGCGACCGGCTCCATTCCAGCGCTAACAACATCTCAAAGATCCGACCGGCATTTGTAGGAATCTGTGGAAGTGGTACGTGGTTCTATTCCCAGAGATACAAGCAGAGCCATCTGTCGCGCGCCTAACAATTAAGACCTCTACGAGTACCTGTCAGGACCATCCGCCGTACCAACCAGTCCACATCCACTGACCGGAGAGAAGCTGCCTACTACTTTGGGTCATGAGTTCAGTGGGACCATCGAAGAGGTTGGAAAGGATGTCATCGATTTCAGAGTCGGGGAGAAAGTCACTGTCATGCCAAATCTTTATGATGGAACATGTGTCAGATGCATGTTGGGTAAGCTTCACCAATGTCGGAGTCTAGGTTTTATCGGCTATAGTGGTAAGTTGGCACCTGCTCGGATGAGGGGATTACCGGTAGATTGACGTCTAAATATCTCCCAGGCAATGCTGGTGGGCTTTCTGACCACATAGTTGTGAGGAAAGAGCAAGTCATTCGACTTCCTGATTCGATTCCACTGGATATCGGCGGTAAGCCTTCCAAGGTTATCAACAATGCCTTTCAAAATTCGTGGTGAGAAGTCGCTGACAGGTCACAACCCAGCTCTGGTGGAGCCCCTTGCCGTTGCATGGCATGCAGTGAGCCAGAGCCCACTACAGGAGAAAGTGGAAGAGAACGACATAGCTTTGGTCATTGGGGCGGGTCCCATCGGTCTTGCAATTGTGCAGGTCCTGAAATCCAAAGGAGTGAAGACCATTATTGCAACAGATATTTCTCGAAAGCGCAGAGAGTCTGCAGATTCCTTCGGTGCCACCTTGGTTTTGGACCCAACCGAAGTGGATGTTGTTTCCCAAGTTCGCGGTCTCACAGCTGATGGTGGTGCCTCTGTGGCCTTTGAATGCAGTGGAGTACAACCTGGGCTCGATTCAGCCATTTCAGGCACGCGACCCTGTGGAACGACTGTCATAGTGTCTAAATGGGGCAAAAGGGCAACTATTGATGTCTTCGACGTGATGCTACACGAGAAACACCTTGTTGGGGCAGTCGTATATGAAAGAAAAGATTTTGAAGCTGTGATTGATGCAATCGATTCAGGCATGTTTGACGCATTCAGAGGTCGAGCAGCAAAAGTTTGCTAACGCTTCAATTCCCCAGAACAAATCCAGCCACGCTCTATGATCACGAGCAAGATAAGAATGGACCAAGTGGTGGATAAGGGCTTCAGAGCGCTGGTCGAGGAGGGCGATTTGCACGTTAAGATTTTGGTGGAAATCGAGCTTGGTGAGGTGAATGAATTGTGATGATCCATAGGGTTCCAGGTTTTATTACATGCAGTGAGCCTGGGTATAGCATCTATGGTATTACGGAGGCCTACGCGTTTTTCTCCGAGTCTAATTACTACAATTCTCTCACTTGCGCTACGCTCACATCTGGGGGCGAGTCGCCTACTGTGTTAGATGTCGGATTTCCGGATTACCATATATTTTTCATGCCACGATGTTTCATTCCCTAGAGCCAGTGTTTTAACTCCCTTGAATAGATTAATTCCCTTGAATAGAAAGAGAAAGAGCAAGAAGAGAAAATGAAGTAGATGACAAGTAAAAAAGGGAACTCAAGAGGGAAGATCAAGCAATTCGAAATTGGGTAGACCCTCAATGAGTGCCGTCACAACTTGTCGATCCATGGAGCTCAGTATATCCAATTGAGCCTGCACCCAACCGTCTGCTTTCTCCTTCATGAGCTCCCAAACATCTTTCGAGTGAGCCTCTTTCTCTTCTAGGAAGAGGCGCGCGGCAGATGTAGCAATCAAATCCCCCCACTGCTCCAGCCTGGCGACTTCGTCCGCTTTGATTCCTTTGGTCAAGGTCTTGTAGTGACTCTGTAAATCAGCGTGGAATGTGGCAGGGCCATAACCCACGGTTTGAAGAAACATTTCGCTCATTTCCCAATAGCCTGCAAAGTTCTGTAGACTAATCATCCTATCCAAGGGCGGGAGTTTCAATAAATCTTTTTTTCCGTCGTCTTCTTCGCCACCGGAGGCGCCGTTCAAATGGAGATGACTTGGAGAATGTCTGGGAGTCGTAGGAGAGAAGCCTGGGCTCGTAGGAGAATAGCCTGGTCTCGTGGGAGAAAAGCTTGGGCTCGTAGGAGAGAATCCTGGGCTCGTAGGAGAGAATCCTGGGCTCGTAGGAGAAAAACTTGGGCTCGTAGGAGAAAAGCTTGGGCTCGTAGGAGAATAGCCTGGGCTTGTAGGAGAGAATCCTGGGCTCGTAGGAGAGAATCCTGGGCTCATAGACCCTTGCGGGGGTCCACCGAAGGAAGAAGCCGGAAATAGGGCATAGCCGGTGATACTTCCCTCACTATCCGATGCATCTACAGCTACATCGGAAGATACTGCAGGCGCCGTGATCCTAGAATTTGTCTTCTTGGCTTTCTTTTTCTTCACGGGCATCTGGGTTTCAGCTGTCAGCATTCTTCTGTCAATCATCCTTTGGTCAACCTGAAGGTTCCCAAATTTCAAGATGTCAGAATCGGTATAATTCCATACAGTTGAGACCTCTGGGGACACTTCACTCTCTGTCGGGATCTCTTTGTCCACCGCCACGAATGAACAGTGTTTTCCTGCAACTTGGAATATGACACCTAGTCGCTCGCATTCCTTTCGGTTTAGCTCGTCGACCCGACTCTCCCATTTGCTTGTGATTAGTTCTCCCTTGGAGTCTTTTGCCGAATTGATCCAGCCGTGGGACTCCTCAAGCTCGGTAACAATTTTTTTGACTGCAATCTGATGAATTGTTTTCCCCTCGCCAACATCCTGAACGGGAATTTCTAGTTCCAAAGGCCCATACTTACTACTCGCACGGAGAGTAATTGCTGCAGGGAAAGTATGTTCATGGGAGAGCAGGATATAGATGTTGGAGCGAATGAAAGGAAAGAGAGCCGGAAGGTCAGCAGGGGCTTGAAGAATGTTCGGAACAGCAAGTTCTGGAAGGCCTTCACGCAAATCTTCAATTTCCTCTTTTTCACATCCTTGGCCCACTAGGGAGATTGGCACTGGTGGAACTTCCATTTGATTCTCGTCCTTGATGGGCATCTCGATGTGCACAAATTTTTCACCAAGCCCAGGAATATTCAAATCCAGTCTGGCGTTGTGAAGTCGCGACATCAAGGCACCCTTCAACATTCGAATTACAGTTTTGTTGAGGTCTTCGTTTTTGAGGATCGCTTGGGAGAATCCCTTTCCCGCTCTGGAGATGCCATTGATCAAAGCGTGGGATACGGAATTGCCAATGCCGAGAGTGAAGAACCGTGCAGAATGATCCCGGTTTTCTTTACTGACAAATTCGAAAATCCTAGTCTGGTCCCAAGCCTGCCCGTCCGTGAGGAGAAGCACTTCGAGACTCTGGTCTTGATACCGGTTCTTGGCAGCTGCCTGCAGACCACCCAGAATCTCTGTTCCTCCCATATTGGCTTCCACGCGTTTGGTATACTCAAGGGCATATCCTAAGGTCTCCGTGCTGCTCATTTTGCTTCGCGGCCACATGAGCTCGTGATCAGAGCCAAATGATACAATGTTGAACGGGACACCTAGCGGGAGGGATTTGAGGAATAATTCCAGCGCCGATCTCAGGGTAGGAATTTTATCCTGCATGCTTCCACTGCGATCAATCACAAACACAATCTCAGAAGGGTCTGAGGGAAGTGTGAACTTTGGTACCAGGGATACCATCAAAGCCTTCTGACCTGGAAGACTTGGATGTGTCTCCAAGAGCGCGAGGGGGATGTCTTGACTATCTGCGTTGACGGTGATGACAAAGTCCTCGCCAAGGACCGCTTTTTGATTAAGCCTGACAGAGGCAAAGTGTGATTCAAATGATGTCTCGGGCATGCTCGATATTCTTCCCAGGTCTACCTGGATTGGATGGCTGGGTGACCGTATGCTGCGGATATTCGAACCCTTTTCCATCACCAGGTCGACTTTGATCGCTGTGTTTGTGCAATTCCCTTGGGGTGGACCCGGGACACTCCCAGCTCCATAGCGATGTCCAATAATGGAAGGGATTGTATATCGAGTTCCATTGGTCTGAGTATCCTGTGTCAATTCTGCGATCAGGGTGACCTCGATGAGAGCAGTTTTCCTGCGGGAACATTTCCTATGCGAGTGCTGAACACATCAGTAGCATTGACTGAGCGGTCCAACACAGCAGCAGAGATGCCTTTAGACTTCGCCTCTTCATAAATTTCGGTCGCTTTCGCCTTTGGTTCGACTCTGCCTTCAATCACAGCATCGGCTATGTGGCAGGTGAAGCCAACGACACTGGAGTTTTCATAGAGAGGGAACGAGTAAGACACTTCGGAAATTGCATCAGTGGACGACGGATTCACAAAGGTCTGGGTGATGACAGTCCGTGAGTTGGAAGCCAGAATAACAGCGTGTGCATCCAGTCCAATCTGAGGCAGGTATTCCCGAGTAGATTTGCCATTCTCAGTCAGTTCGTAGAAACAACCGTGAGACATGTTGGCAGATAGTTGTAGAAGAGAAGAGATTGGGGGAGAGAGCGAGATACTTGTAGGACACAGGCTCTCGGGGTGACGCAGCCAGTTCAACCACGCTGTTTCACGCTAATCTTCGCTAATCTGCGCTAAGAGTTGTTACTAGACGTCTGCTGTCTCTGATTTGCGGCTCAGAGATGATCTGCATACTTCTGACTCATCTGATGGCTTGGCGAAGGTACTCTGAACACGAAGTGAGCTTCCAGAATGAATAAACTAAAGCTCATATCTATAGGCAGACCAGCAAAAAATGCCCAGTACTTGAGTATACAGAATATTGGCAAGTTCATTACATATCTAAAGAAAAAAATATATCCAAAAAACTCTTCTAGGCAACTTGAAATGTTCAGGTGCCAAGATTTTGAGCCTCACACATCTTGGGGTACAATCGCCCCACTCTCAGCAACTCTTCATGCGTGCCAGACTCGACAATCTTGCCCCCATCGAAAACACAAATAATGTCCGCGTGACGGATGGTAGAGAGGCGATGGGCGACTGCCACTGTCATCCGATCGCCCTGTGCAGCCGCTTGATTCAGCGCATCTTGTACAATCCGCTCTGATTGCGTATCCAGTGCACTAGTCGCTTCATCCAGAAGCAGCAACTTGGGATTCCGCAGAAGGGCTCGAGATATCGCAAGGCGCTGGCGCTGTCCTCCGGAAAGCTGCGTGCCGTTGGTTCCGCAGGGGGTCGCAAGACCATCTGGCAGAGACGAGATAAAGTCCCAAGCATTAGCAGCGCGACAGGCAGCCTCGATCTCGTCATCAGAAGCCATGGATTTGCTTTCTACTGGCGCTCCCAGGGACACATTGTCGCGAATTGTCCCAGGGTATAACGTCGGCTCCTGTTGTACAAGCGCAACTTGACTGCGATATAGCCATGGGTTCAGTGTATCCAGATTTCTGGAATCAATCTTGATATGACCGGCAATCGGGTCGTAGAAGCGCTCAAGCATACTGATCATGGTGCTTTTCCCACATCCAGATGCTCCGACGAATGCAGCAAATTGTCCCTCTTTGATCTGTAGCAGATGTTAGAGAGATTAATCTATGCAAATTGATGAATGTGAGAAATTGAAATGACTAACATGAAGGTCAATGCCACGAAGAACTCGGGCGTTTGGTCTCATTGGATAGGAGAATTGCAAGTTGTCCAACTCAAGCGACTTGAAGTCTCCTGGCCCACTCTCGCGATTCTCTTCGGTCTCTCGAATGGTGGGCTCGAGCTGCTCAAGCCAGAAAATATAGTTTGCTGCGTTTGTTGCTTTCGACATGCCTGGAATTAAATCAGCTACCGGCATTGTTTATAGCTCGTACCAGAACTCACTGCTTGAGAAACCGAACAAAATGGATGCTTGCTGGCCCGCGAAGAAGACGCTAAGGAAAGAAATGAAGAAGTTGACCATGGTCAGTTCACCAAATGAGACAAGCCTGCAGCCATACCTAGTATTTCCAACCCAAGTTAGATCAAAGGCTAGTCCTGAGAGTGATGGGGGAAAACGAGACATACCAGAATCCAAGCGCCAGGAACGAGTATTCAACAGTTTGAGTAAATGCAAAAGGAATCATGATTTGAAGCAAAGGCCTCGTGGATGAGGCAATTGCATGATCGACCTCCCGGGTATAACGATCTAGAACGGATGTCTCGATCGCTAAAGAGGAGACAGTTCGGATAGCATTCATCGCTTCGGATGCAATAGAAGCACTTGTTGAGAATCGCTTCGAGATCTTGACATCCATCGCAGCCTCCATTCGGAGGCGGATATAGCCGGAGATTAGCATGGGGGGAAGCCCTGCTAGAACGATCACTAGACCGAGTTTCCAGGCATAAGCAAGCGCCAGAATAGCGCAAGATAGAACGCCGACTCCAGCAATAGTGATCAAGGCAACGTTGAAGCCCATCAGCTCCAGCACAGCTTGTGGATTAGAGTCTGCACGGCTGACTAGGGCACCTGTTGTGTTCTCGGCTCGATCAAAAAACCGTAGATCCTGTCTGAGCATGTCGTCGACGATCTGCCTCCTGTATTTGTGGTTCATTGTCTCAATCAAATGTCAGCTCACGGGGCTCTCGAGATTCGGTGCCTGTGTTATACTTACATGCGCCACAATACTTGCTGACCATCCAATGATAAAATAGACGACAAAAGCTCCAAGCCCCAGGACCAAGAACATGAGAGCAAAGAAGTTACCTCGTTTCTGCATCGCTGAACCGGTGAGTTCGAATACTTCAATAAATTTTGACATCAATATAGATTGCCCTGGGAATGCGGCAGCTATGTCTTGATTAGCTCGAGCTGGGACAGAGCGCGAGGGAGCAACTTACCAGCGGCTAGACATGACAATGTCAAAATTGTAAATGCCCATTTGATGTCCGGATTAGATTTGATTAACCGCCAGACGACATGGAAAAGGCCTAGCCTCTTCCACTTATCATAATCATCGCGATCTAATTGCTTCTCCAATCCCGACCGTGTCAAGGTTGATGATCGAGTCAACTCGCCAGTGAGCTCGGTTTTGTTAATCTCATCTGTGTTGTCGCTGTCTGAAAGATCACCGGCTTCTTTCTCATTAACGGATAGATCTTGGGCTCGCACTAGTCGTGAGTATGCTCCATTTTCCGCTAACAGAGAATTGTGGGTGCCTTGCTCAAGAATGCGGCCGCGTTCCATGACCACAATGTTGTCAGCATCACGGATAGTAGCAAGCTTGTGAGCAATAGTGATGGTCGTACGCCCTTGCGACACGTTGTTGAGGGCCTTCTGGACGACTTCCTCGGCGTGTGGATCTAGGGCACTGGTTGCTTCGTCGAGTAGCAGGATTCGTGGCTGGGAGATGATGCTTCGCGCAATTGCAACTCGTTGCTTCTGACCACCAGAAAGAAGCCCTCCTCTCTCACCAATCACTGTGTCGTACCCATTTGGAAGCTCAGAGATGAAATCATGCGCAAAGGCGACTCTTGCGGCTTCTTGGATGCGGGCTGTTTTCTCGGGCTGTGGCTCGTGCTCCCAGGGTGTGTCGACAAGACCATTTGCGATATTCTCAGCAATCGTTCCATTAAACAAGACGGGCTCTTGTTGGACTAGTCGCACTTGCTGGCGCAGCCATTTAAGGTTGAACATATCGACTGGCTGACCATCGAGCTTCACTGCTCCCAAAGATGGATTGTACCATCTCTCTAGCAGCCCGACGACTGTACTTTTTCCAGAACCACTTGCCCCGACCAGTGCAGTCGTTTTTCCAGCCGGGATTTGCAGTGAGAAGTCGGACAGAACTTGAGTATTCGGCCGTGTTGGGTAAGAGAATGAAACGTGATCGAATTCAACAACGCCTTCAATGTGATCTAGCTTTTTGCCCGACTCGTCGAAGGGGTTGATGGCAGATTTTCGGTCAATCAAGCGAAAGAGCTCCGATGCTGCAGAAGCCGCGCGGGTAAATTCAATCATGTGGGGGGCGATTGAGGTCAGACTTGTAGCTGCCACGATCACTGACATGATCACACTGCAATTCGGTCAGTTTTGCGTGGTCAGGTGAAAGAATGGCTTCGACGAACGTGAAAATCTCTCCGGATTCTGCTACCTCCCCACTGACCAGCATCCGGATTCCCTGCCAGAAGGACAGTCCAAATCCAGCATAGATAATGGCGTATTCCGAGGAGAACAAAAAGCCCCAGAGGGGTCCCTTTTTGTCCCCCAGCCTCTTCGAGGCCACTAAGAACTTGTCGAAGTCACCGATGAGTCGCGATCGGATTCCGAAGGCATGAACAGTCCGTGAGCTCGATAAGATGCTTTCTGCAAATGAGCCTGCTTGAGCTTGAATGCCAAGGATTTTGGTTTCAATCCCCGCCTCGATGGTGGAGACAACGCCTATGACCACCAGCATCGCTGGGGCGATACAACATGAAATCAGAGTGAGCTTCCATTGCGTGACAAATGCCAACACGAATGCTGATATGAAGGCAGACAGTCCTTGAATGACCAATCCCAACTTCTCCGAAACACCCGATTGTATGAGCTTCCCGTTGGAAGTGGCCTGCATGGCAATGGATCCGCTAGTCCCGCCATCATAAAAGGCAACTTCTTGACTAAGAGCTGATTTGAGGTACACTCGGCGAATGTTTCGCGTCATTCGATATGCGCCCAGTGTGAGCAGAGTGCTGTATCCGTAGGTAAGGAAAAATCGCCCTAGACCGATGATGAAGAAATAGAGGCTTTTCAAATTAGTATATGGCTTTGATGGCTTGATATCGTAGATCAAACCACTTACCTGAGTCTAGCAGCACCGTTTCGAAAGTCCGCTGGACTTGAATGGCCCGTGATATAGTCCACAATCAAAGTGATAAAATTTCCAAATACCAGATTGACAAGTGCCATGCCAACCCCGGAGGCGAGTGCACACGCAACGGCAACGGCATGCATCGTATACTCTGTCGAGGAGCCATAATGAAAGATTCTCTGCTTGGTGTTAGCAGCCGTCACCCTCCCCAAAAATAAAGACTTGGTTCTCTTGCCATATAACTGCTTAGTGCGCCTGCTTCGTGATCCTCGTCTTTGACCGTGTCAGTCTTTTCCGTCTTTTCGGGGTCACCCATTGTGAAGAGGCCACAAGAGTGGGAGATAGGAGAGAATCAAAGCTTGAGTACGATACTTCCATCTCGCTGACATCGGGATGATCCCCTTATATACAATTCGCCGTTGGATCTAGACAAGCCCCACCGATGCTTGGCACGCGCCTCGGGTTTCCGCTACGCGGGCGACTGAGCTTTAAGTCGGGCCCCGCGGGCCCCGGGGATCTGTCGATTCTCATTTCTCCTTATACTGCAGCCTACTCATCTGCTCTGATAGTCTCATTTCGTTGGATCTGATTTTTTCCATTTCTTCGGCCCAATATGACGGAGGAACTTTCCGGCGACGCGGCGTCCGCTGTGGAACGTGCGGTATGCCTACAGTGCCAAGCCCCAATTTAGCTGCTGACCATTCACAGTGTGATCGATGCCGCAAACGAAAGGTAAAACGATCTGCGCGTTTTTGCTATCTCACATTACCTCGTGTAGCTGACTGTTTCAGATTCGCTGCGACAGAAAATCTCCGTGCTCAAATTGCCGATCTACAGGGTCCGACTGTAGGGCATCCACTCGTCCTAGACAGAAGCGAGCTCGGGTTCTACTATCCTCCCAATTGTAGGTCTCAAATGGGGGTTTATGCTTGAGTATACACTAATATCTCTCATTCAGCGAAGAGAAGATTAATCAAATCGACGCACGGCTAAACTATCTTGTCGAGTCACTTACGGCAAACGATACGTCATCCGCTCATGCAAAATCATGTGTCATTCCTCAGCCCAAGTCCTCGTTGCGTGCATCCGTAAGAGCATTCAATGGGGAGGGGCCCGACCAGAAGTTACCCTCGAACAATACGAACGATGCCACGCTAGGCCAGTCTTCTTTCACCGCGCAATCTACTTTTGCTATCGAGCTTGCACGTACGGTCGTAAGCTCTAGTCAATTGACGGGAAGTAGGGAGGAAGTTGAAACCTTACTGGGCATGCTGAGCCATATTCGAACTGCATTCAACGAGCGCCATGATTCGTCCAGCCGTTTGTTCCCTTTAATACCAGGATCGACACCTTTAGGAGAATACCAAATGCCCCCACTGGAGACTGTTGTGCAGCTTTTACAAAAGTCGCATGGTGGGTTTTTTCCGACATACTTATCTGCATGTACTAATGAATTACTCGCAGACGAAAGATGTTTCGTGTTCCTTGGGCTATCCTTCTTACTTCAACCGCGAAGCCTGTCCGATATTTGTTTAAAGGTTTATTTTACTTCAGACTACTCAGATGCAGATTTTATCATTGTCAATGCTGCTCTACATTGTGAGTACTTGTGTTTACAGCAAACGGCAGTCCACTAATCTAAGGTTTAGTTTTGGCCTCCGAGACGGATGTCCGCAGGACTGACTTTGAGGAAATGACCGAGCCGGACACTCTGAGTTCAATTTGTCAAAGGAACCTTGAGATCGCACTATCAAAGCTGACGCTTTATATTCAACCTAGCTACGAAATGACGTTGGCTCTCACTCTAGGGGTAAGTTCTCATATCTCATGGGAGACAGGCTTTGGCTAACATGGTCACTCCAGGTGACTTACGCGATACACGTCTCCAATGCGTCTTTGGCAGGGGTATTGGCGAATTCGGCCTATCAATGTTCATATTCGCTTGGGCTGCACAAGCATTCGAATACCTCAGGTGAAATGAAGCAGGGGCAATTCCTTTTCTGGGTAATTTACTTTCTGGAGAAGACATTATCCGTCAGGCTTGGTCGCTCCTCTATCATTCAGGACCAAGATATCGAGCAACCTTCGGCGGAGCGATTCCTGACAGACGGCTCTCATTTCTCCGTTTACGCGTATCAAACGGTGCAACTGGCAGGTTTGGCTGGCAGAATTTATGAACAGCTCTATTCGCCAAAAGCACTCAGCACATCAGCTGATACGCGAACGCATCGAGCACTCGAACTCTCACAGGAACTACACACATATCATGCAGAGGCGCGCAATGCAAATGTTTGTGCAATTCTTCACCTATATTGTTGACGACCGAGAATATCTACTGATTTTTGTCTACTGTAGCAACTTTGGGCTCAATCGACCAGCAATGCTCACGAGAAAGCCCAAATCGAGTTCGCCTCGGCTTCTGATGACGTCATGCGGCTCTCGATTTTAACGCTCATCTATCGAGCCATGCCACAGGGTCCAACTTCTCGAACGACATTCGGCCTAGAGTGTATCACATCTGCAAGATGTGCTCTGGAGTCTCACCAGGCAGTTGTCCGAGCCTTTAGGATGCAAGAATCGCCGTTGCTCTTATCGTCATATGTCAATTGGTATGTATCAATCTCAAAATCTACATTCATCTTTTCGCCCCGTCCCAGCATCTTGCTTCAATACTCACTCATGGCCTTCCATCTTCCATAGGACAATCCTTTTCACGCCTTTCACGCCTTTCACCATTATCTTCTGCCATTGCATTGAAACGAGAGACAAAGAGGACCTCAACCAGATGCACAGTTTCCTCAAATCGATCGAATCCGCCTGTCAGTATTCCAGTACTATCACCAAGCATCATCATTTATTTTCAATATTCTATAACGTCGCATTGCGCTACTACAACTTGGGATCACCATCTTCTGCGATGGAGGAAGAGCAAATCCAACTTAGGAGTGATGTCGACGCACAGTTAACTGCTCTTGGGGTGCAGACAAATATGCCACCCAGCTCTGGCCCGCCTTCACAAGAAGGAAACTTTGAACAAAGTTCCTCTACTACAATGGAGCAGAATGGAGAAGGCAGCTGGGAACAGGACCCTTGGCTTGAAAAGTGGTTTTCCTTTAACCAGCAGATGATGGGATTGGTAGATGGGAGGGATCTTCCATTTTAGAAGCTAAAGTGGTCAGTTTATGTTGAATTGATTATAAATTTACCTTAACATAATCCCAAAAAAAAAAAAAAAAAAAAACCAAGTGAAAGGGGAAAGAAAAACTTTCCCTTCAAATTCACAAAACCCAAAAGCGGAGAAGACAAGGGGCAGGGACAGGGACCGCCGGACACCCCGGGCCGG